TTATATATGTCTAGACAAATATATATATGTCTAGACCCTAAGCGGCCGGTTGCTTCCCTTATGGGTAAATCCACCCCTGTGTGATAGGTAGTTGAACAAATAAGTAGTTATTAAAGTAGATTGGTGGATTGGAATGTAATTGGATAGATAGAAGATAGATAGATAGATAGATAGATAGATAGATAGATAGATAGATAGATAGATAGATAGATAGATAGATAGATAGATAGATAGATAGATAGATAGATAGATATACAGATGGATATACAGATGGATATACAGATAGACAGACAGACACTGATTTATTTTCTCTTTGCCATGATGACAGTAAATAATATTAGACTAGATATGCTTCAAGAAACTTCTATACAGCTTAAAGTGACATGTAAATTCTTCACCAGGTTAATTAGGTTAACTAGGCAGGTCAATGTAATTAGTCAAGTTATTGTATAACGATGGTTTGTTCTGGAGACCATTGAAAAAATATATATTGCTTATAGGAGATAATTAGTGACCTTAAAATTATTCAAAAAATATATATATTTATTTAAAACTGCTTTTATTACTGCCAAAATAAAACAAATAAGACTTTATCCAGAAGAAAAAAACATTATCAGACATACTGTGAACATTCATTTACTCTGTTAAACATCATAGATAATAACACAGAGAAAACCGCAGTTTAGCGCCCCCTGTTATGTTTGAAACGGCTAACGTCATTACACATTTTAGCCAGTTCGAACACAGACCATTATCACCCTAGGTACACTAGAGGGCGCCTCTTCATCTACGTATCTACAGGTAGATGGCATCAATTTATTCCTTATAGGTGGGAAATAAAACATTAATAATATGTGTAACGACATGATTGACATTTATTTGTTGTTTTGGTTATAGGTCAAAGGTCATGTGTGTGTGATGATAGATAGATAGATAGATAGATAGATAGATAGATAGATAGATAGATAGATAGATAGATAGATAGATAGATAGATAGATAGATGGATGGATATACAGATAGACAGACAGACACTGATTTATTTTCTCTTTGCCATGATGACAGAAAATAATATTAGACTAGATATGCTTCAAGGAACTTCTATACAGCTTAAAGTGACATATGTCACTTATGTCGTATGGATAAAAGAAAGTGAAGTGGTTGATTATATTTGGTTGAATTGACAGGTTGGTGTTAGTTGAACAAGTATGTAGTTGCATTTAGAGTGGATCAATATATCGCTTGGTGTATACAAAAATAGTTGGTAGGTTGCTTGGTAGTTAAATGGATCTGTAAGTAGTTTGTAAAGTAGATAAACTGGTAGATTGTAGATACATTTGTAGGTAGTTATGTGGATAACTTAGTTTGCAGATAGTCGTTGGATGGGTATGTATTTGGATAAATAACTAGGTAGCTGGATGAATTTGTAGGTAGTTGTTTAGGAATATAGATAAGTATGTAGTTTGTTAGACATGTATATAGTTCGGTAGTCTAATATGGTTCCATAAGGTTGATATATAGGTGTATAAAATGGTTGCTGCTTGGGTGGGTTGATAATTAAAATAATGTGTTTAATATTTTATTCCACCAAGCTATCTAATAAAAAACATATTTAAAATAACACATGCTGAGAAAATGTTTAAAATTGTCCACGTTAAATGACTTTGTTGAACTTTGTCTCTTCAGAACATGGGAAACAGTGAAGAGAACAACCCGAGTCGCCAACACTGCAGCTGATGGTGTGTGTGCATGCTTTCAAACACTCTCATGTTCTCTCTTTCTATGCTGCAACGCTCTAAATATTAAAACATTTGATCTAAAGGTGTGGGAATCATAGCTCTCCTGAAGAGGACTCTACACAAAGACTGCGTCGTCATGGTCAAGCAGTTTCGACCACCCATGGGATGCAACACACTGGAGTTTCCTGCAGGTCTGAGGATACCAGTCTCATATTGTTTAGTATAACACATAACAGTTATTGATTATTGCCTGTGCATGAATATCTCAGGTCTGATAGATGAAAACGAGAGTGCTGAAACTGCTGCTCTGAGAGAACTGAAGGAGGAAACTGGGTACAAAGGGGAGGTAGTGGGCGTCACACCAGGTAAAAGTCATTTAATATGTGTGTATACGCAATGAAATGTATATAATCTTGCATGGTTTGATAACATCGGTTACATTTTCCATCTTTCAGTTACATGTTTAGACCCGGGCTTGTCTAATTGCAGCACAAAGATTGTTATGGTGCATATTAATGGAGACGACATTGAAAATATAAACCCCACACAGCAGCTGGGTGAGTAAAGGAGCATTACTGTATCTAACACAGTCATGTTGAAATTCATGTTGTGTTTTTAAACGATTGCTCTTTCTCTTTTTTCCATCTTGTATGTCTAGGTGATGGAGGTATGGGTTTGTTTTCTAATATAAATGCTGCCATCATTGATTATTTGTTTTCCTGAAAGCATGTCTTTTGTTTCTCAGAATTTGTGGAGGTTATTCTTTTACCTCTGGATGAATTTCAGCAAAAAATTGATGGTGAGTAACGATATTGTTGATGAGAAATTATAATCCTTATAAGAAAAAATAGATGTGAAAAAAAGATTTAAAAAGAGATGTGTCTGCATCAAATAACAATTATGGAGCCAGACCAGTCTCAGAAATCATACGTTTACAAAATAAAATTTATACATGCACAGCACAATTCACTTACAAAATCCTATTTGTAAATTCAAAACACAATTCATAAATGCGACACGCTATATTTAAATTCACAAGTCAAAATATTTTCCTTAAATTAATTGGGTTTAAGGATATTATGAATTTTGTTTTGAATTTACGAATTGGATTTGTGTATTTATGAATCAAGTTTTAAGTTCACAAATTGGATTTGTGTACTTAAGAATCGTGTTTTGAATTTACGAATTGGATTTGTGTAATTACGAATCAAGTTTTAAATTTACGAATTGGATTTGCGTAATTACAAATCGTGTTTTGAATTTACGAATTGGATTTGCGTAATTACGAATCGTGTTTTAAATTTACGAATTGGATTTGTATAATTATAAATCGTGTTTTGAATTTACGAATTGGGTTTTTGTAATTACGAATCGTGTTTTGAATTTACGAATTGGGTTTGTGTAATTACGAATCGTGTTTTAAATTTACGAATTGGGTTTGTGTAATTACGAATCGTGTTTTGAATTTACGAATTGGATTTGGGTAATTACGAATTGTGTTTTAAATTTACGAATTGGATTTGTATAATTATAAATCGTGTTTTGAATTTACGAATTAGATTTGTGTAATTACAAATGATGTTTTGAAATTAAGAAATGGATTTGTGTAATTACGAATCGTGTTTTGAATTTATGAAATGGATTTGTGTAATTACGAATCGTGTTTTGAATTTATGAAATGGATCTGTGTAATTACGAATTGTGTTTTGAATTTATGAAATGGATTTGTATAATTACGAATCGTGTTTTGAATTTACGAATTGGATTTGTATAATTACGAATCGTGTTTTAAATTTACCAATGGATTTGTTGAGTGTAATTACGAACACAAATAAAACAATGCTTTTGTCTTTGACCCATATATTTTGCTTTTCATCATGTTTTCTTTTTGATATATTTATAGAGCTGCTTCAGAAAGAGAAAATAGTGGTGGACTGCAAGGTGTACATTTATGCAATGGGAATGTCTCAAGCCTTCTTTAAACCCAGAGAGCTGCCCGTGCTGAAGCAGTGAATGCACAGATCTCTCTTCTGGAATGCAACGAAGACCGTTTTCTGAGCTGTAACACACTTTTTTGAGCTATTTAGAGAGATGAAATCCAGTACTTGACCATGGCTTTCATGTTTTACCACAGTTGCCTCAACATTCCTAACAAACTAACAGTACTTAATTATCAGGTAATCAGTGTTTTGCACAGTTTTAGAATTTGTGATAGCAAATAGGACTTTTTCCTGATAAAATTAAACTAAAGTGTAGGGTTAATTTTCCAGATATTGTAACCACATTGTAATCTTTGCCTGCTGTTGACCCATAACAATGAAAGAATATTTAAAAATTATGAGCAAAATAAGTAAATTAAATGTCCTCATTAGGGAAACTTTTTGAATTATGATCAAATCTTAATATAAATTTAAAGCTGACCCTAAAAGTGTGTTTTTGACGTACTGTAAATATGTATTAACAAAAGGTCAGTAGAATATTGTTATAGACTATCCAATTGTCAACAGGCCTGCAATATGCAGGTAACGCTGGAAACTGCATATATATGCATTTCTGTATACATGAGTAACTTTTCCTTTTTTATCTAATAAAATCTGATGGTTTAGATTTGGCATTTGTGTATGTATATGTCTATGTCAATCTATTTTCCTTCCTGTGTACACAGAAATGAGTGTATATCAAGCTATAATAATATAATATATTATATAATATTTCTTGTTAGGCTAGTTTATTAACAGCGTCGATGAACCACACTCAATTTAGATTAAAAACGTAAATTCCTGCATTTCCTGTTAACCTACAAGTTTAAATGTCATTAATTGAGATCCTAAATGTGTTTATAAACTGTATATGATCCATATTGTGATATTATAAGCTTGTTATAGATTATGACGACATATTTAGTCATCATTTAGTTCTCATTACGACTTATACGTCTATCTATCTATCCATCTATCTATCTATCCATCTATCTATCTATCTATCTATCTATCTATCTATCTATCTATCTATCTGTCAGTCTGTCTTTCTGTCTGTCTGTCTGTCTATCTGTCTATGCACACACACATACAGTACACATAGGCTACATTTCAGCCCAATACAAAGTTTGAAGTTTCAATACATCAACGTGATGTTTTGTACAACTGTTATTCTTTACTAAAACTATTTAATTTAGTACTTTTAATCAGTATTATTTTCTTATGAACAGGCTATGACAGGGCACGACGTTTTCCCGCAAAAGTGACGTAGTTCCGGGGTCCTGAATATTAAACATTTTGCGCGCCAACATTGAAACAACAGCTGCTACGTCTGGTCTGAGCGGAGACATTTAATCGCTTTCATTTAAACAAGAGAAAATACGGTCAAGTCAAAATGACAGGTGAGTTTAACATCATTTTAGTACACACGTTAGGCTAGTTTATTAACAACTTCAATGAACCATACTCGATTCAGATTTAAAACGTAAATTCCTGCATTTCCCGGTAACCCAAACCGTTTAAATGTCGCTAAATGGGATCCTAAATGAGTTTATACATATAAATATACATGTATATAAACAGTATGTAATATATATTTTGTTGTTATTAGCTTGTTATAGATTATAACGATCTATTCAGTCGTTATTTGGTTCTTACAGGGACTTATTTCTTATTAACGTTAGATACACGCATATATATATATATATATATATATATATATATATATATATATATATATACACACACACACACACACACATTTGATTATTTTATTTGGATTGACTAATAATACAACTCAGCATCCAAATAATCATAAAGAGCCCTTGATGTTTCACAGTCCAAGCAGTGTGCAAATAAATACAATCACTGAATGTCTTTTACATAACAGTATTAAAACGCTCAGGTCAGCTCTGCACAAAGACATAAATAAATACATAAAGGAATATCTGCAAATTAAGGATAGAGATAGCATTGTCTTTTCCAAACATGCTATTATTGCAGACACTGAGCAGTGTTTACAGGGTTCATATGGTCATGGCATTTTGCAGGCCTGAAAAAGTTTTGGAAAAACAAAAAAACCCACAAAGTTTTGGAAAAGTCATGGAAAACAGATATCTTTATATTTGAATAGGTTATTTACTACTTTTCTGTCTTTGGCTAATGGCACACTCTCACGTTATTAGTGCGGTGTGAGCATTATCTAATATAAAATAGATTGTTGCATGTTTTACGATATGCTGTAATTTGAACATGCATTGTTTTTTTTTTCTACCACGCATATGTAGACATTGCATGAAACATTCGGTCATGAAAATGTACTTAAGTCTTGGAAAAGTCATGGAATTTAAGGAGTAAAAATGTATTTAGCAATTTGTTTAGAGTCTTTCTTACTGAGTCCAGGGATTTGTAATCCTCACACACACTATGAACGTGTTCCTTATTATTTAAAATGTTAATATAGACACCTTATTTTGAATTTAAAACAATATTTAACACTTATTGTAAATATTAGTTTCATATGTAATGTATAATGTATATAATACAATATATATATCGTACTGGTACTGTACGATATTTTGCAGTTAACTTAATCTGTAGTATATTGTATGAAGCATAATATATTTAATATACTCAAAATATATAAGTACAAATTCCTCTGCTCTACAGTGTAAATGTATGAACTCGCCTCAATAAATTGTATTGTTTAATGATGTCATATTGATCTGCCTTCATATGTCTGACATCAGAGGAGGAGAATCTGGACATGCTGCTGTCTTTATTTGCGGAGAGTGAGGGCCAGGATCTGGAGAGTCCTGCTGCGGAGGAGGGTGAAGACAATCTGGACGATCTCTTCGATGAGGATGATGACGGCGAGCAATATATCGAGCCTGAGGAGGCGGAAGAAGAGAAAGAAGAAGAAGAAGAAGAAGTGTCACCTGGGAAGTCCAGCTCATCTGACTTAAATAAGTCAAAAGAAGATCTGGAGGGTAATGCGCTGCTCTGTGGTGATTCTAGGCATCTTTAGGATGCATTTACATATCATTCATTGGTTTGTTCAAATGCAAAGTTTTTCATTTGTCTTTTTAAACTAACATTTTGCATACAGACCCACAAAAACGACTAAAGATGTAGCATGCCAGGCTAGGGACTGGTGATTGGAGAATTTAATTTTCAGCCCCATTTTTGTGTAAATTAACAGCCATAAATGCATAGAAAGCTTGTAGATAAAACCAGTGTAATGTAAACACTCCCTTACACTGTGTCATAACAAGGGCCAGACGGAATCTGCGGACGTTTTTTGTTATTTCTGCGGGGAATTTTTGTAAAAGTCTGCAGATTTCTGCGGAATTATTCATCGTCATAACTAAAACCTTAATATATGAAAAAAAAAATTATATCTTTTTAACTTTTATTTAATGTTTAAAATGCAAATCCAAAACGATTCACTTTATTTGGTAAATAAAGCAAGTTTGTCATATAAAATAACTAGTAAAAGACAGAAAATATTACTGTACAAACTGCATTGCACATAAAAATGAACATTTTCACATCAGTCAATAATATTACTGAAATTAATAAAAAAAAAAAAACAGAACAAATTTAAATGTACACACATTTACTCAAGTAAATAAACAGAATTAATGATGGGCTTAAAAATCTGCGGAATTCTGCGCGCGCAGAGTCAGGGTGGGCCTAGTCATAACAACACTTGATTAGATTAGATTAGATAAGATTCAACTTTATTGTCATTACACATGTACAGGTACAATGCAACGAAATGCAGTTCAGGTCTAACCAGCAGTGCAATAGCAGCAAGTGCAGGATACAGGTATAAGTTATAAAGTGCAGTTATAGAAAAACTATGGTGATATTTACAGATGGATGTATTATGAACATTATATACAGGTTGGATTAGCTGTGAACAGATTTACAATATATTAATATATGTACAGGTTGCTATTAATAATCAGTAGTGTGCAGATAAAGAAGCATGATTACAAGTGTATATGTACAGTGGGTGTGTACTTAATTACAAATGTCCATGTGCAGTGGGTATGTACAGTTCAAATAGTAGATCAGTGCAATGTGGTGCAGTAATTGTGCTTAACTGTTAACTGTTTGCTAGTGAAATGCTCATTTTTTCCACTTAGACTTACTTTCTGTCCTGTAAATAGTGAATGCGCTCTTGGCGCGACGCAGCTGACTCTTAAAGGGAATGGGAGATGAGACTCTAATTGGTTTATTCTCAAAACACACCTATAACTCATTAAGAAAATGAACTCAACCCTTTTCGCCCATGCGCCACGGCGCAAAGCAGGTTTTCCCGTCCTTAAATTAGCAAAAATGCGTTCTGACACGCCCTGAAAGCGTTTGCGTCCTGCCTTTTGCGCTCTGCGCATGCACCGTCAAAATAGATCCCATAGACTCCTACGCAGTGTGTAAACCAATAGATTGAAGCTTTCATTTCTTCCTTCCTCTATAATGTACCTGTACATATTAGTACCCGTGTTCTGTGTTTTAAATATTTCATATTTATATGTGGTCTTACATTGTAAACAATGTATCTTTTTAATTGTTTTGTTTTAATTATTTTACTGTCTGCAAGCGTTGTTGCACTTATTTGCCAAAGACAAAAATCCTCTCTGGGACAAATAAAGTTTATCCAATCCTATATGTTTTCCAGCTGAGCTGAAATTAATGCAGGAGAAAATGCAAAAACTACAACAGCAGCTGGAGGCCTCACAGAAGACCACACCAGCTCAAAACAAACCCGCCGTCCAGAGACAAAGCACTAAATCCTTAACTTCACCTCAAGCGGGTGTGAAAACTACCCCACCAACAGTACGAGATAGCGATGGCTCTCCATCAAACATCACGGCAAAGCTGAAAAACAAGCAGAGGACGGCCCACCAACCCAAAGCAGGTGAATATCAAGTTACAAGCCTTAGTTTTTAACCTTATGAATTTATTTATTGCAGTTGATGTCTTATCTTTATTTTGTTTTAATTATCACAGACAGGGTTCATACGCATTTTTACTACTAAAATTCAATGACGTTTCCATGACTTTTCCAGGACTTTCAAATCAATTTTCATGACCTAATGTTTCATGTAATGTCTATGTATGTGTGAATAATAATAAGCAAAAAACAGTGCACGTTCAAAGTTATTACAGCATATCATAAATATTTACTTTGAATGAATCTTAATATCTATGTAAAATTAATTTAGATAATGCTCACACAGCACTAATAATGTGAGAGCATGTATTTGGCCATGGACATTAAAGAAGTAAAAACAAACCCATATTTAAGTATACAGATATTTGTTAAACTAATGTCCATGACTTTTCCAAAACAAGTCTCTCCTTCTCTATTGCATTTCTATTTTTTTCTCTTGTGTTGTGAAAGGTTTTTAAACATTTTCAAACGCCTTTCTTATGTAAATCAGCCTCTTCAGAAAGGCAGATTCCTATTGGTCAGAGTACGAACCAACCTCAGCCGATGAGAGACGGTGCTAAAGTGAACAGCATGTTAAAGTCACCTCCCCTTATCAAGACTCCTCCCACTGTGCGGCAGCCCACGCCACGTCTACCTGTCAATCAAGAGGTGGCCGTGGAGAAGTTTTCTGGTCTCCGACTCAGGTTAGTTTAAAGATGATAGATGCTGTTTAAATTGTCTTTATTGTTAATGGCTTATTTTTCACAAAGTCTCATTCACTTCTATTCATTTTTAGCCATATAAAAAAAAAACATTAAGCTCATTATGCTGCTTGATGATGCAAAATGACATTTTAAATGATATTGTTACAATGATAATTGTTTTATGTATAATCATAAACACACTTGTTTGGAGAGCAAGAAGTATATTATTAACCCGTTTATTACTCATAGTCATTTCTCCCAGAGGCAACTGCATCGTAAGCTATGCGCATTTCCACATAGCAGAATAAGGTCAATACATTCAAGTTAATGAGCATAAGACTCGTTTTAAATGCCTTTGAATAATGATTAGCTGATTGGTCAGCTAATAATGCTTTTTTCAACATGCTGCGATTTGGGGCATAATAATTCTATTTTCAAATACTATTTAGGATGGATTGTAGCGCTGCACGATTCTGGCAAATATGTGAATCACGTTTTTTTCTTTGCTTAAAATCACATTTTTCTCACAATTCTGTAAATTTAAAATTAAGGTTATTATGATTAGCCTATTGTTATTGTTAATTCTCAAACATATGGTAAAACAACAACAATATTAGGCCTGTGTGTTGGTCTACTGTTGCTTAAAATGCTACATTTTTTATAGTCGTTATGGTGGACTTGAACAGACTTTCAATATCCTGTTTGTTAATTCACAGTAAAATTATGACATCTAAATATAACTATTCATAATTACAAACTTGATTTATTATGTTTAAGACATATGCTTTTCATCTGATTTTGACAAGATTTTGTTTTCACTGGTAAAATTAGAACTTTGTCATTATCAGATTCCTTCATGCATTATATTCAACATTATAGGCTAGGGTTTTTATACTTACACCGTGAACATTTATTTTCATGCACAACACTTTGTGTTCGCAGTGAAAGAAAAAAAAACATCAAATGCTTGTCGTAGTCATAACTCTTAAATGAGATATGATCATTTAAATGATGTGCGCACAGGTTTCACTTTCACTTCTGAGTGCAGCTCATGGCTGCCGTCACTGTGAGAAAAAACACATACATGCAAATCAAACCTCCTGCACGGTCGCTCTGTGCAACGAACTGAACGTTTTTCACAACTTCATTACCTGTTATTCATAGCCTGTGCAGATTATGTTCACTAAAGTAGGCGTCATGGGGTGTGCACGCACGCGTTCTCGGTACAAACACCTCGCGGTCAGCTCATGTGTGATTTCGCGGCCACGAATACTTCATTACATGAGGACAGAAATGACATCTCTGGGTGTATTATACTTTATAAACACAGTATGTGACCCTTTTAACGCCATTTGAAGGTGTCATGTTGTTGTGAAGACTTGTGCGACTCCCTTGCTTCTCTCCTGACCTCAAATATGGTTGGCTGAATCATAATAAAGCTGAATTAAGATAGTGTGTAGGGTCGAATCAAGATTGTGATCTTTTTTTCCGATTAATCGTGCGGCCCTAACGGATAGTATGCAAATTGGGACGCAGCACTAGTGTTTGCCATATTGCCAATATGCCATCATATTGAAAGGATTATTATGACTATATTATTATCTGGAAAATAAGAGTTTTTGTGCGGTTTTTTGGAGGTAGACCGGTTTTACATACAATCACAGCTTTTTTAATTTTTTTCCCCAATTTTTCATCTCCCTTTTTCCTCTTTTCTTTTGTTTTGAAAATTTTCTTTGTGTATTTTAAAGATGTATTGTGGTGTCTGTATTATTGTGAAAAAATCTATTATAAAAAGCACTATGTTTTTGTTTTATTCTCCTCAGGAAGCCACGTCTGTCTTCCATAGACATTGAGCAGAAAATGGCCAGCCGCAAACTGATCAGGCTCTCCCAGCTGCCCGATCGACTGGCCAGAGACAATTTAGAGGACAGCGATTGGGTCACGTTTGCCGTGATCATAAATAAGATCACTCCACAGAGCAAAAACAATGTAATGGAGCAGCATATCTGAGATCTGACATCTTATCATATTGATTTTATATTGTATATTTGATTACAAATTGTTTTATTTCTGTAGGGGAAAACCTTCAGCATCTGGAAGCTGAATGATCTCCATAATCTGGAAGTGAATGTGTCTCTCTTTCTGTTCGGGTCTGTTCACACTGACCTGTGGAAGACTGACACCGGGACAGTGATTGGAATCCTCAATCCCAACCCGATGAAGAACAAAGAAGGCTCCAATGAGGTTTGTTTATATTTTCCTGGTGATCCATCTGGTGATCTGTCAAAGGCCATCCTGTAGCCAGCGTATTAAAATAATAAGCAGTAACCTTGCTCTCAAAAAGCTGGCACCTATAAAAAAAATATGATTTTTATCAAATATAACCAAAAGCACTTTAATTATAAAGCATGTTCTTTTGCACGGGTCAAATCTAGGTCCTGGAGGGCCGCAGCTCTGCACAGTTTAGTTCCAACCCCAATTAAACACTAAAGCTGTGGTCACACTGCAATTTTCTCCTCATAGACTTCCATTCATACGCATGCGTATGCAAAAGACTGATAATGCAAGTTCGTGCAATAAGTTTCGCAGTTCAAGCTTGGTGAACTCTGACATGCGAAATCGCATCACTTGACTGCGTGAGACCGACCGAAGATCAACATGACTGCTCTGTACAGAAGTTAAAATTATGGACCAATCGCTCCCTTTTTTTAATGTGTAATCATCATGTATTATCCGGCCTCTTTTCGCAGCGCCGTACTATAGAATTTTGCATGCTCAAACTCTAGTGTGATCGCGTAGTTACCTGTTGGTTTTAAACAAGCCTGAAGAACTCGGTTAGTTTGATCAGGTGTGTTTAATTAGGGTTAAAGCTAAACTGTGCAGAGCTGCGGCCCTTCAGGAACTGGATTTAACACCTGTGTTCTATTGAAGTGTGTTGGTTTTAGTTCTGTGAGGAATAAATTTATTCAGCTCATTCTGAAGCAATTTTTAACAATGTTAATCCAAATGCAATTTAAAGTTTTTAGCTAGAATAAATTGTAAAATCTTAATTTAATCTGTCTTCGATATACTTTTTCACGCCATGAAATAGGCATTAGAAGCTGGCATGGCGTTAAACGCAAACCAACATAAAATATGGACCTTGTTTAACTATTTTGTAACCAGCTGCAACGTTTTTGGATGCTTGAGCTGTCAAATCCCTTTTTTAATGTCTGTTATAATGTTCAGATATCTTTTATTCCTGTAAAACAATTAATGGATTTGATTAACCATCAGACGACAAAATAACACATTGGAAAGCTGTGAAACGCACAAAAAAGTGTATTATTATTATTATTTTAATAGAATGTTTTTATTGTATTTTTATCATTTTTTTTTTATTCAATGCACATTTGCTTGTTCGATTCAAGATGTTTTAATAAATCAGAATAAATTTGTTTTTTTTTTTCTTTTATATTTTACTTCTGAAATTCAAAGAAAAAGCCAATAAATATATTTAGCATAAAAAAAGGTTTTATACACTTGAAGCACAGCTGAGGTTATAAATGCATGGAACCAACATCAGTATTTTTGATTAAAGGGAAATAGAAGCTGCAAAACAGGCTATCTCCTTGAATGTGACTGAATGTTTAATTCCTCCTGAGGACTTGAAACCCATCATCAATTTGTACACAAACGAATCATGGCAAGGAGAATGGGACAACTGCATCAACAACAAATTACATGAAATTAACCCGAAAATAAATGACAGACATTTAGCAAATTAGAATTTTGAGACCAGGCATGATCAGACGGTCTATACCAGATGTCGAATTGGACATTCTAGGTTGACACATTCATATTTATTAAATAACAAAGAATCACCTAAATGTAATTACTGCCAGACTGCTCTTACCATCAAACATATTTTGTTGGAATGCAGAAGTTTAAATTCCATTGGACAACATTTTTTATAAGGAGAGTACTTTGATGGACATTTTTAAAAACATACCACCTGGAAGAGTTTTAATTTTTTTTAATCAAAAATAAAGAGCTGAAAAATCATATTTAACTTTAAATAAATTTTTGTGTGAATTCTATCTATTTCTATTTTATACATTTTTCTAAGTAACTTTTTTTAGTGTAATGCAAATTTGTTTTTTATCATGTAATATTTTAATGTATATCCATTTGGCCACGAAATAGCCATAAGTTGCTGATGTGGCAATAAATATGTAATAAATCAATAAATAAAAGGGAAATATATTACTTATTTTTGATAGACATCACTTTTGCACATTTATATGAATAAACACTTGTGATTTTCAAAATGTTAAATCACTCGAGTAAAACAGTTTGCGTCGTGTGTTCATTTCTAACATCAGTAATGTAGTATTTGTCTCTCTCCAGCTCAGCCTGACAGTGGATCACCCACAGAAAGTCCTCATAATAGGAGAAGCCATGGACTTTGGCACCTGCAAGGCTAAAAAGAAGAACGGGGATTCTTGCACTCAACTTGTCAACTTGGTGAGTCTCCAAACATCAAGCTTTTCTGGGAAAAAGAAAATCCCTGATCAGTTTATTCATTATTTGTTTGTTTGAACAGTATGAATGCCAGTTCTGTCAGTACCATGTTAAAGCCCAATACAAGAAAATGAGCTCCAAGAGGGCGGAGCTTCAGTCCAGCTTTACAGGCTCCGCCCCTGGTAAAGGAAGGGGGCGGGGCAGTTTGAAGGAGCGCCTGTGCCAGTCTGATTTCCACTATGGCGGCATGTCATCACTCGCTTGTGCGCCCTCAATGTGAGTTTACGGCATCCCATAAACATCACCTCCATCGAAATTCACCCCACAATTAATGCATGAATCTTTTGTTTTTGACAGGTCTGCCCCACAGCCAAAGAAACAACCCACTATACAGTCTGCTTTGGCATCCATCCCAACTAAGAAACTCGGTAAACTCTCTTTCCACCTATATGATGTTTTATACATGTGTTTATGGTTTCTAATCAAGTGTTACGTCTTGTAGTTCTGAACTCAGGTCAGGTGTCAGGCTGTTCAGATGATTTCAGAGGTCTGATGTCTATGCCCACGCCTGGAGCACTTAACATCAAGAGACATTTAGGACAATCCAAGAGTTCAGGTAAGTTTATTCAGTTACAATTCAATTCATGTTTATTTGTATAGCGCTTTTACAATGTTCTCTTAGTAAAGTTCTAGTAAGTTGAGACTACGTCAGTCCAGTTTTCAGAGTTGAAGTTCAGTGTGGTTTAACTTTCACTGCTAAAACACTGAAGAGTAAATCCATCAATGTGCAGCTCCACAAGTCCCAAACCAAGCAAGCCAGCGGCAACCAGGGCGAAGAACATAACTTCACCAATTGACGACAATGAAGGGAAAAAAAACCTTGAGAGAAACCAGGCTAAGTTGGGCATTAGCATTTCTCCTCTGGCCAAACTTCTTGTGCAGAGCTCCAGTCTAGGCGCTGGAGGCTGAAGAACGCTGGACATCCATCGAGCGTTCTTTTTATTTACATAGTTCTGGAAAAAAACCTACATCAGCATGATAACCGGTGCCTTAATTGACCAAATCTATCTGTCGGGAAATTTTATTGCAAGTGTAATTAATTTTGGCTGAAGTCTCCTTCATTAACACAGGGGAGGCGGGCTTTATGACTTGTACAGCAGCCAGTACCCCAGGGGTGATCTAACGGCTGGCAGCGTCACACAAAAGCAAACTTGGATGGTACATATTGTAGCTCCTCCCCTTTTTTTATAACAGCCAATAGCGTTTTGTTTTTAACACAGCTCTGTCAGTTGAAATCAAGTACATAAATTAAAATGCAAGTGAGAAGCTTCATGAAGGGAGCAGGGCATGTCAGATACTAGAGAGCACTTGATTGGTCAGAAAATTTGATGAGAAACTGAAGTATGAGGTGACATCATTGATCCGTTTAGGCGTGAAGTGACAAACAGCAAGCTTTGAATGTTTATATCTTCTACATGTGTTTTGTTTTCACTGTTTGGAGCACGCTAGCTTATAGATATCCTTAAAACTAACATATTTATTGGCACCAATGGCGTACTGGTTAGTGCGTTGACACGTGCACTTCGGTGCTCACGGCGACCCGAGTTCGATTCCCACCTCGAGGTCCTATGGTGATCTTTCCCCTCTCTCTGCTCCCCAAACTCTCTTGTCAACTTTCTCTACTGTCCTATCAATTAAAGGTGAAAACCCTGGAAAAAAAAAAAATAATAAGATACTTAAACCTAAAAAAAAACATAATTTTTGATCTTACGTGACCTTTTAATTTATAAAAGCTATTATTGAAAGATGCACAATATGGTCACTGAACACATGAATGTTTTCTGATGCTGCAGTTCTGTTTTGGGCCAGCAGATGTCTGCCGAATATCCCTTCACAACCGAGACTAAAGCAAACCAAATGTTTATGGTCCTGGAATATATAACTTTAATGCACCATGCACATTTAATCTCTGATGTACTTTTTTATTTTATCCACCCTTTTTAGCCGTGGCAGGATCTTCAGTTCAGTCAGTATCTGCCTCTGACCTGCTCAAACAGCAGAAAGAGCAGCACCAGCAGAGGATGATGGCCCGAAAGAAGAGGGCAGAAGAGATTCAGAAGAGGTAAGACACATTTTCTATAGTTAATCTTGATTATTCATTACATTACATTTCAAAACTAGTTTTTCTTATTTAGTCTTTATTGTGAATACACTAACTACAAGTCTTTCTCTACTCAGGGTGCTTCAGAGTGGCGGAGCTCCTGTCGCTTCATCTCGGCCCAATGTAAGCAGGGGTCCACTGCTTTCCCCGAAAGCAGCTTCAGAGGGTCCTAAAGGCTCTGGGTCCAGTCTCTCAGGGCCCGCTGTGCCCACCCTCGGTCGTGGCTTTTCAGAAGGAGAGGACATTGTTTTTGATATGTCTCCACCTTCATCAAAGAGCCTCTCAGCTACAAAGGTACACGTCTGGAAAAGGGCTGCACCATTTTTAAGCAAGTGTTCACTATGTAACAGAGTTGCTGTGTGTGTATATATGTGCAATATAAACCAACATGGACAAAAGTGATGGTACCCTTCCAAACAACAACAACAACAAAAAAAGTTGATTAATACAAAATTTGAGAAAATAATCCTCAATGAAAATCAGATATTGCTCTTGAACTGTGGTTTAACATGAGCATTAAAAAGGCAAACTAATGAAACTGGCCTGGAAGAAATTGAAGAGTACCAATATAGGTAGGTTAGTGGATGATGGATAGATAGATAGATAGATAGATAGATAGATAGATAGATAGATAGATAGATAGATAGATGGATGGATGGATGGATGGATGGATGGATGGATGGATGGATGGATGGATGGATGGATAGATAGATAGATAGATAGATAGATAGATAGATAGATAGATGGATAGATAGAAAGATCCATTTACCCATGATTTACAGAAGATAGCACGTATATTTGTCTAATGTTACATCCCAAAATATTCTCTTATTTCTTAAATCAAAGATCCCCGTGCAATGAACATTATTTCACACATATTTAGAAATTTTGCACAAATTATAGATATTTTAAGACACATTTCACTGAAATCTTTTATGCTTTTTAAGTATATAACATATATTGTTTTAAATTTTTATTTGCATTGTCTCAATAAAAAAAGAGATTCTGAGCTTCCCGTTTTGTCCATTTCCTGTTTTCAGCATGATTTTCATTTCAATTTGCTTCATTTTTTTTTTCTTAGCTGGCAGCAGTGAGGAAACTCCAAGCTAAAGGCTCAGTCATCGTTAAAGAAGACCCGAATGCTGTTAAACGCAAGCGAGCAAACAGTGGTGACATCACAGGTCGAGTCGAGCGTAACATCGTCAAAGCCAAAGGTACAAACCCCAAATACACCCAAAAATTAACATTTACTCACCGTTACCCTCAAGTGTTTCCATTTTTTTTGGATGAATGAATGTTGAAGACTGGTAGCCATTGACATCCATAGTAGGAAAAACATTATAGAAGTAATGGTTTTTGTTTTCTGTTGTTTACAAATGAAGATATTTTGAAGAATGTTGAAGACTTGTAGCCATAGGAGGAAAAACATACTATGGAAGTCAATGTTGTTGTTTTTTTTTCTGTTAAACACAAGAAAAGATATTTCAAAGAATGTTGGAAACTGGTAGCCATTGACATCCATAGTATGAAAAAACATATTATGGATGTCAATGTCTATTGTTTTCTGACAAATGAAGAGGCCGTATATAAAAAGAAGGGGGACATTTTAATTCTAGATGAATTTTAAAGGATTTACTTCGAATCTAAATGGTGAATAAGATTTGTTTGGTGAATTATACATGTGAGACAGTGTTTGCAGACATCACTTGAGACTCCTCTAAAATCTCTATCTGTAGTAACGGATGAAAATTCAGCCAGCGAGGAGGAGGAGCCAGCGATGAAGAAGAGGCGGGAACAGCTGGAGTACATTCAGTCAGAAGAGTTTCAGCGTATCCTCAACGCCAAGTCATCAAACTCATGGATGATGGGAGAGGTGTGTGTGTGTTGGCTGAGCATCAGTGAGCATGTGTTTTCATATGACTGTCAGCGCTATGATAAATGATGTCACAATGGGTGGGTGGAGCTTAACAGCAGGATCCGGCACAGCAAGTTAGATGACTGTATTTGTTTTGGATGCTGTAGTAAGGGATATGAAATTATTGTATATTAGGATTGGATATTTTTTTATGTTTGATGTAATTTCTGTTGTCTAGATTGAGGAGCGGGCCATGCAGGAGTACTTCGAGCCACTTGTGCAAAAAGAGAAGATGGAGGAGAAGATGAAGAGCATCAGGGAGATGAAATGTCGGGCCGTCACATGTAAAACTGTAAGTTAGATTTTTACTTTTTTGTTATTATTATTTTACAAAGAAACTCAATCAAGTTTAGAACAACCTGACGGTAAGTAAATCGTGAGGAATATTTGATATATGTAAATAAATACACAATGCACAATAAATGAGTACAGAGGCTTTTGAAGATGAATATTTGTATTGATTTCACAGTGAATATAGACAATAAAATTTAGTGCATCTAAAGACAATTAATACTATAAATATTCAACTGTTTTATTAATTAAAATGGGAGTTTGCGCAGTTAATATCTTTAGAAACAGAAAAATAATACATTTAAACTTAAAGTAGAACCATTCATTTTCTTTTCGGCTTACTCCCTTTATTAATCTGGGATCACCACAGCGGAATGAACCGCCAACTTATCCAGCATATGTTTTATGCAGCGGATGCCCTTCCAACTGCAACTCATCACTGGGAAACACCCATACGCTCACTCATTCACACACACACACACACCACAGACAATTTACCTATAGCACATGTCTTTGGACTGTGGGGGAAACCTGAGCACCCAGAGGAAATTCATACACTGGGAGAACATGCAAACTCCACACAGAAATGCCAACTGACCCAGCCGAGGCTCAAACCAGCACCGTTCTTGCTGTTGGGCGATTATGCTGCCCACTGTGACGCCCCTCAAAGTAGATATTACAAAAACATTGTTTAAAAAACTAAAAAAGCACAACAGAATGCTGTTAAACACAAACAAGCAAACAGGGATGACATCACGGCTCAAGTAGAGCATAACATCGTCAAACCCAAAGGTATAAACCTCCACAATAAAATTTTGAAGGGATAATTCACCCCAAAATGAATATTTACTCACTGTTATGCTCAAATGTTTACACAAAAAAAGATATTTCGAAGAATGTTTAAAACTGGTAACTAATGCTTTTAAACTCAAAGTAGGTATTACAAACATAAAAAATCTGCAATATTTCAGCTAAATTGAACGTCTTTTTTATGGTTATCATGATTTTTTAATTTTCCTCTTTATTAAAATTGTGATAAATATTATTCCCTAGCATCTTGCGCACTTTGCTAATAAAACAGTTTGCACAATTAATATCTCTAGAAACGGAAAAATAACACATTTAAGCCCAAAGTATTAAGAAAAAAAATGACAGACTGTCATGTATCGTTTTTTAAAGTGATCATGATTTTATTTATTTATTTATTTTCCTCTTTATTAAAATTGTAATAATTTTTTCCCCCTAACATTAATTTGGGTGTACTAATTTTTGAAAACTAATTTTTGAGTAAAGTCATCTTTAGTTATTTTGTTTGATTAGTTCCAGTTTTGGCTTTGGTACTGACTAATGTAAAGTGTGTGTGTGTGTGTGTGTGTGTATACAGTATACTCAAATATCTTATTTCATAGCATTCATTTAAAAGGGAGATCTGTAAGTGTATTTTCATGTTTTTTTTTCTTTATATACCAAAAAAACAAATATGTAAACAAGTATCACAGCGCAGCCCTAAAATCACAAAGGCTTTTTAAATCTACTATTCACTAAGTTTTTCCAATCTGGCAGCAAGTTTTTATTCATTTAAAACAGAGTAAAATGTATTATGCTCACTCATTCTTTTATATCAAGTTCAGGTTGAGCTTTATTGTTGTTCCGCTATATGTGTGGACATAAAGTGGACCGAAATTACAGGACCACCGTGCTACACAAATAAACATAATCATAGATATAAACATAAAACCAGATGTAAGAGCATTTTTTAAACCTATACATGACATACTGGAGCGTTAATCTAACTGTACATGTACTATAAATGCTTAATTATACCTCAGACAAACTATACAAGTGCTTAATGTAAAACAGAAACAATATGTGCAACATTTTGTTCAACAAAGGTATTGAAAAAGTAAGCAGTGCAACATAATTTATCGTACATTCACAAGTAAACATTGTTTACTTTGAGTCCTTGTGAAATGGAGTTTAAGAAAAGTGTCCGGTGCATATAGAGGAATGTTTCTACAGGTGGTTTGTCAAGCCCACTCACATGTGAGAGGCACGCTCCAGAAATGCACCATGTTTTTCTTGAGATATATAGTGATTGTAAGACAGTGTCTGGTGCATATGATAGAATGCATTTTCTACAGGTGGTTTGTCAAGCCCACTCACATGTGAGAGGCACGCTCCAGAAATGCACCAGGTTTTTCTTGAGATATATAGTGATTGTAAGACAGTGTCTGGTGCATATGATAGAATGCATTTTCTACAGGTGGTTTGTCAAACCCACTCACCTCTATCTGCATTCTTTTATAGGTCAGAATAGGTCAAGAACAGGTGACCATTTATAGGTCAGGTTGTTTAAATACACAGATAACATTATCATTAAATGATTTATTAGGGTCACATGAAGTCTCATTCAGGTCCTTGCCAAAAGCGGAGCGATTTTTCAATGCGTCATTAGCAGCTAATCTTTATTTATTCACATGACGAAGCAGTTTTGAGTGTACACAGTCTCTCAGTAAATGTTGTTTAAGAGGAGCGAAAAGCAAAGGAAGCTCTCTGTGATGCTAATTAGATTTGAATTAGGTTTTGGAGTGTAAATCAAGGTCTGTTTGTGCGCTTTGCTTCATGAGCTGCTCTCGCCCGCAGTGTAAATACACCCACTTTAAACCAGCGGACCGCTGCGTGGAGGAGAAACACGACTATCACTGGCACGACGCCGTCAAACGCTTCTTCAAATGCCCCTGCGGGCAGAGAAAGATCTGCCTGGCGCGGATGCCACACGGAGCTTGCAGGTGAGGTGCAGAACTCAGTTCATTATTCACTGCTTTATATTCAGGGGTCGCAGAAAGTGCTTGAAGATGTTTTCTGAAGTGCGAGTGCTGGAAGATCCTTGAAAACAGATACTCGAACAGCAGTGCTTGGAGACTCAGAAACTTTATTTGTCAAATAAATGTTAATTAATTTGTTATGTAATTTAAATATATATATAAAAGACACGTATAATCTTTGTCTTATTATACTCTTATTCTGTAAAAAATATCTGTAAATAAGCAGTTTTCTGTAGTTAATTTTTTTCACATTTATTTCTGCTTTTGAATGGCATTATGGGATCTTGATCTTTCTTACAACAACTATTAATCTTGAAAAGTAATTTAAAAAAATGACTTTTATTGTCATTTTTAATAGTTTAGGTGAGGTATTGTCTGGGTTGGTGTTGTAAATTACGGTACAAAAACCTTGTAATAAGCTGCCTGTACATTTTCTATTGTTTTTCAGACTTCTTCCTCTGTATATTATTTCCTATACATTATATTTTTACTAAAATATCAGAGAAAGTCACTTTGTTAAACTGTAGAGTTGAGTTTTCAATATCAAAAGTCGACAGAGCAGAGCTCAACATCCCATGATGGAAAATTCACAACTGTAAATAAACAGAAAACACTTGTGAATTGCTGAATGCAGAAACTGTATCGTTTACAGAGCAGTTTCTTCTTTATTTCATTTGAAGTGTAATGAGATCTATAATTGTTGTCCTAAAAACAAACTAAAATAGTGCTTGAAAATGTCTTTGTACAGTATCTGTATAAACCCTCTGTGGGTAGAAAAAGCAATATATTTTGATTTAATACTCAACTGTCTGTATAGAAGTTATTGTTGTTTTATTATTGATGTAATAACAGACCATTGACTCTTTCTGTTTTAGCCATTGTGGCCTTTTCAAGTGGGAAAGAGATGGCATGTTAAAGGTACAGTTTTATGTTCATTAATCACTATTTTTAGTGCTTTAAATCTCACACATTGATTCTGATTGCTTTAGATGTGTTTCTAAATATTAAATTTATATATATTCGAAAGTATTAGTTGCATTAATTACATGTTGTTTTTTTATTCATTTAAAGAAGTGTATTTGTCAAATATTATTAATTTATTCATCCGACTCTTAATCAGTTTGAGATGTTTTCATATACATAGTTGATTGTTTAATCAGTTTCTCTTTCGTTCATTATACTGTTTATTTGTCTTTTATTGTTTTATTATTGTCTTTTATTGTTTTAATTAATATTTATTTATAAAGAATTTATATATTTTACTGTAATTTATGTATTTTATTTATATTTTATGCAATTTTTGTCAGAATATTTCATTTTATTGGTTTTTTTTGTCATCAATTATATTTTATTACCCTAAATTTAGTTATTATTTTTAATTAACATTGCATAACCCTATTTGTTTCATATCAATTTATTTATGAATCCTTTTTATATTTTAATATAATTGTAGTTATTTTATTTATATTTTATACATTTTCTGATTATTTTATTCTATTGTATTTTTTTTGTCATCAATTATATTTAATTACCCTAAATTTAGTTAGCATTTTTAATTAACATTGCATAACCCTATTTATTTAATATTTAATTATTTATGAATAGTTTATATATTAAGATATTTTAATATAATTTTTGTTATTTTATATATATTATGCAATTTTTTTTGTCTGAATATTTTATTTAGCTTATTTGTCATCAATTATATTGTATTATCCTAAATTTAGTAAGCATTTTTAATTAACATTGCATAACCCTATTTATTGCATATTTGATATTTAACTATTTATGGATAATTTATATATTGAGATATTTTAATGTAATTTTAGTTTTATATATATATATATATATATATATATATATATATATATATATATATAATGCAATTTTTTTTGTCTGAATATTTTATTCAGATTTTTTATTATATTTTCATTAATTATTATTAGTCATTAATTATATGTTATTACCCTAAATTAAATTAGCATTTTAATCAACATTGCATAACCCTATTTATTTCATATTTATTTATGAATAATTTAGCTATTTTAATATAATTTTAGTTTTTTTATTTATATTTTATGCCTTTTTTGAGAAAATTTTATTATCATCAATTGTATTTTATTACCCTAAATTTAGTTAGCGTTTATAATTAACATTCCATAACCTTATTTATTTATTTATTTTATATGTATACATTTGCCGGTTTGCTCTAGTTTTAACCTGCCTCTCATTTCCACAGGAGAAAAAGGGACCCAAAATCGGAGGGGAGCTTCTGATGCCACGTGGAGAAGAACAGCCCAAATTCCTCAACAGTTTAAAGTAGAGTCAGAACCCAAACTCCATCCGGGACCAGTCCAAATGCAGAAGAGCTTTCCATCATGCAAGACTAGTCCTAAAGGAGCCTTCATTTTAGTCTCTCACTGTTTGTTGCCTTTTTATATTCTTTTAAGATAAGCTGTAATAAATGTAAATATGTAATATGATTTTAATTGTGAACTTTTATATCAACTCTGGTCCCCCTGAATTAAACTGAACCTGCTTGAACTTCATTGATTTGACTGGAGGCAATGACACACATGCTCGATCTTGTTTGTTAGTTACATTTCAGAGCTTTATGATTGGCTCTTGAAGCAGTAGGAGTGTCAGAAGTCGTTGTCCTGTCAGTCAAGTGTGTGTGCGTGTGTGTGTGTGTGTGTTAGATTTGTGAAAAGGCACAGAAGGTCGATAAATCTCTTTCCACTTGTTTCCTTCTTCCCTCATTTTCCCATCTGTCGAAGCTCTCAGCGCAGGAATGTCAGACCGTTGCCAGCAAATACTGCCTTGGAATTATTATCCCGTCTGCAGGCGCGCAATCCTCTTTTATTATGCATACAGCATATTTATGAATTTACAAGATGTCACGATTGAAGTGAAAGTCTTTGTTTACTTGGTATTTTTATTGCCCTTTTTTTTTTTTTTATCATGCAGGGTCGTAAATATGAAGTCTGTTCCTCACTGATGTGGAAAAAAAAACAAGCATTAGTTGCACACATCAATACAGACCCCGAGTTATTTTAAGAGATGGCTGCTGAATGCAATCACTAAAGAAGGAAATTGCTCTTGGATCAAAGCTTAAATTCACAAACTAATTAGGGATGCTTCGATTCTATGCTTTAAATGAAAATAGGAAGTGATTAGGACAGACAGTATGACATTAAACACACAAAAAGCACTTTATTATGCATGTGTTAAGAGCTTTAGGTCTATAAGTGCTTATATGTTTCTATTATGTCTTGAAATTATCATCCAATGATGAGTTGGTCTCTATCAGAGGGGTTGTTTAATAGTACTGGCGGTGGTGAGGGTATTGAGGGTATTGACCATCATAGTTGAACTCTCTCCACTGTTCGTTCCTCTCTCTGGTTCTCTCATACTGTTCTGTTGGTGTATTTAAGGGAAAAAAAAACATACAGTAGTTAGAACTGAATCCAAAGAGCTTTAAATGCATTTAAAGAGTGTCTTTTAGATATTTAAGAGGACCTATTATGTATAAATCACATTAATAAGTGGTTTAAACACAGTTGTGTGGAAATAGTGTGTGAATATAGCCAGCCTCTAATGGTAAAAAAATGAAATAATTCTGTTTTATCATCATATACTTCATAATAACAGTCTGCAGAAACTTTTTGATTGACATTCTCTGAGTGTGTCATCAGAAGGGGAAAGCCCCGCCCATTAGTGATGATATCTCATTAGCATAAACAGCCCTGAGTAAGAAGTATTAGAGTTTTAGTTGTTGCTAGATCGGATATGGTTGCAGCCGGAAGTTAACAAGAATTGTTTATATTATTTATTATATTTCCCATTTATTGTACAGGGTGGGCCATTTATATGGATACACCTTAATAAAATGGGAATGGTTGGTGATATTAACTTCCTGTTTGTGGCACGTTAGTATATGTGAGGGGGCAAACTTTTCAAGATGGGGGTGGCCATTTTGAAGTCCGCCATCTTGGATCCAACTTTCGTTTTTTCAATAGGAAGAGGCTCAGTTGACGCATCAAACTTATTGGGAATTTCACAAGAAAAACAATGGTGTCCTTGGTTTTAACGTATTTTTCTATCATTATTTAACACATTTTTTTCATTTAAACTTTAGAAGAAATTTATTTACACTATAAAAGCTATTAATGTATATATATATAACATTTACTCAAATACAATACAATAATAAAAAAAAAAAAAAAACTCCTGAGGAACTAAGAATTTTCAATTGGTTTTAGTTTTTTTTTTTTTTTATATATATATATATATATAGCTAATTGATCTTAGTTTGTACTAGTAAATTGTCATTTGCAGTGTTCCTGCACAATATTGCACCATAGTTTTTGACTTTTTCTTTGCATTAAATTAAAGTTTCTAATATGATTCCTCCTCATAGCTGGTTGCTTTGGTCCAGTATTTATAGCTCTTCAACAAAGACTTTTCTTAAAAATCCCTGTGGGAAAGAGGAATGGGAAAAACCAGCACTGCAGAAAAAAAGCAGACCGCACCAATGCACTCTATTCATATAAATTCAAGCCACTGTACTAAATAAACAGTTGACTTTTATATCGGTGAAGGAATGCGATGTCACCTAGTGTACTGGATTATAATCCCTAACGATTGGTCTCCGAGCCGCTGCTGTCATCAGACTCTTATTAATCCAGCGGTTCGGGTTTAGACAGCATGTTTCTCTTTTCTGGAGGCCAAGATCATCAAGCATAGAGATCAGTCTCACCGTCACGCTCCTCTTCTAAATAGTTCTCGTGTTCGTTGCTCTGTTCCTCTAAGTGTTCCCGCCGCCGCTCATTTGCAGACATCTTTACCCTCTGCTCCGCTGAAATGAGTGGAAAACACCAATTTCATAATGACAACATTGTTTTTATTTGATACAAGTACAGTACAAACCTATTGTAAAATATTCAACTAATTTTAAAATAAGATCCAAGACCTGTGAAGAGATGAAGCCGACCATCAGACTTCAAGGACAACACTTAATGCACATGCACACATAGACATCACCTACAGCAGGGGTTCCCAAACTTTTCAGCCCGCGACCCCTAAAATGAAAATGCCAGTGACTCACGACCCCTAATGTCCTCTGAGGTGGTTATAAACACAGTAGTATAAATGCAATGGCGCACACAGACCAATAGACCCAAGTCTATTATTTGTTTAATTTTTTAATGTCAGAAATGTGCTAAAAAAGTTTAACCTGAAAGTGTATAAAATAAATCTGCTGCATCTGACGCTATTGCTGTCTTTAATATAATGTAATTACCCCAGGGGTCACAATCCAATAGAACTAGTAACTATAAGCTACTATAGTAACTATATAGTATATCAGTGGTTCTCGGTACGTGTACCACTAGTGGTACGCGGGCTTCCTTCTAGTGGTACGTAGAGGAATTAAATATGTCATATGTACATGCTACATATTTAAAAATTATTATAAAATTATTTATTTTATTATTTAATTATATTATATTTAATTATTTTATATATGAATTTGATGACATATAGCCTATATTTATGAGGTCCAGGCAACATTTCCAGGTGTTGATAAATAGGCTACATGTTAATACTTTACATTTAGTACAGATTTTTTTTTTTACCTTTTAAAAACAATAACCTGTCATTTTTAACGTTTAAAAGCACATTTTAATTTAAATGTTGACGTTTTTAGTTTGTTTTTGTTAATTTAATTAATTTATTTTTTGAATACAGTGTTAATATTCAAACTATTTATACGTTTAAAGTAGCTGATAAAAATAAATAGGAATTAAGACAATAAAATAGTAGGAACTAATCTGCCTCGTTTTGGAAATGTACAGAGCTGTAGCTGCTTTACTGGGCCTACTACGCTACTTTAATTTAATACTGCTCATTTTGGTGGTACTTGGAGAGGCAATTTTTTTCCGAGGTGGTACTTGATGAAAAGAGTTTGAGAACTACTGTAGTATATAGTAACTATAAACGACTATTTTTCTCTTCAGTAGTTTATGGATAAAATATGGTAATTCTAATGGTTGAATAAAAATAAATAGATTTTTTTTTTTAAATCACCAGGCGACGACCCCCACCCCCCACCCCCCGGGGGGTTAACGACACCCACTTTGAGAACCACTGACCTACAGTATATACTATATAACTGCAAGTTAACTATAAGCATTGGACTGTTAAAAGCTACTGGTTACTAGTTAAAGTTATTAGTAACTAATAAAGTTATGTTAACTTATAACTTTAACTTTTCCGAATTTGATTATTAGTTATTTATTTATTTATTCATTAGTTTATAAAGAGCAATAAAACAGCAGTTGTTGCCCATTGTGCTGTACAAACCTAAAAGCAAATTATCAAAAATAGACAGCGACAGATAAAACATACCACACAACATTAATGATTAATAACAAGACACTAGATGGGTACAATAGGATCAATTTTCTTCCAATTTAACAGATCTTTGTAGGAGGTGTAGTTTAAGTTTCCCCCTGAAAAGAAATTCATTAGACATAGGTAGCCTGTTCCACATTTTAGGACCGACCACAGAGAAAGCTCGATCTCCTTTTCTCTTCAATTTGGATCTGGGAATTTGACTAGCATTTTCTGGTTTGATGACCCTAAAAATCTGCCAAATATTTTAGCTGTAATAAGATTAGAGAGATCAGTCGGAGCCTGGCCATTTAATACTTTAACCTTACCAGAGTAAACTACCTGACAAACGTCTTGTCGTCAATCCCAGTTGTAAGAACAACAAAAAAATAACTTGACTTCTAGTCTAAAAGTGGTTTTCTGAAGAATCATCTGTTGAACTGCATCCCAAACATCACAAATACTGCAGAAGACCTACTGGAACCTGCATGGACTCAAGATTCTCAGAATCAGTCAAGTTCGGTGAAGGAAAAGTCATGGTTTGGGGTTACATTCAGTATGGGGCATGCGAGAGATCTGCAGAGTGGATGGAAACAGCAACAGCCTGAGGTATCAAGACATTTGTGCTGCCCATTACATTACAAACCACAGGAGAGGGCAAATCCTTCAGCAGGATAGCGCTCCTTCTCATACTTCAGCCTCCACATCAAAGCTCCTGAAAGCAAAGAAGGTCAAGCTGCTCCAGGATTGGCCAGCCCAGTCACAAGATATGAACATTATTGAGCATATCTGGGGTAAGATGGAGGCATTAAAGATGAATTTAAAGATTTCTTATGAACTCTGGGAGTCCTGCAAGAACGCTTTATGACGCCATAAACGCCATTATGACTTTATTAATAAGTTGTTTGAGTCATTGCAGAGATGTATGGATGCAATCCTACATGCTCATGGGAGTCATACACAATATTCATTCTGTTTCCACTGCAGCATGACTTTATATTCTATGCTGTACATTATTTCTGTTCAGTGTTTTTGTCTAAGCAAAGTCAGACCTTACTGTCCTAATTAAATAATTAAAAATCAAGGCATGATCATCTGATCTAATCTAGAGATCTTCACCTTTAATATAAGCCACTTCAGACACTAAATGATCAACTAGAAGTCAAGTTATTATTTGTTGTTCCTAAGACGTGGATAGGCGACAAGACCTTTGTCAGGTAGCGTATTGTCATTGCAATTCTCCATATTTTCTCTCTCTCATCTTTAGAGACTGGCTCCAGAACTTCTGTGTGTGCAAAGTAAACGGGTTTCAGTGTAACACTCGCTCCTATAAACCCTCTGACTGCAGATATGAGCAAATCGGGTGCCAAAAATAATGTAGGTTTCTGGCTTTTCCTCTGTAGTGAGGGAGGCTGCTTTAGCTGCACATTCCACTCCTGAGCTCCAACTGCTTTAACTCCTCCAACCTGCAGACTGCTACTGTACAATAACACACACACACACACACACACACATGTGCACACTCATTCACATATAGTACACACTTGTATTTACACACATACAAATATTCACATGCAGACAGTATGTGCACACACTCTCTAGTACACAAAAACATACACACACATGCAAACTCACACACACAAACGCATGTACACAGTCACATGCGTGCATACACACACGTTTACTCGCATGCAAACTCGCAAATACATGCACACTCACAGACATGCATGCATGCACGCACACACACATACATACTCCCATGTCAGCACACACTCACAATCTCTTACACACACATGCACACACACTCACACTGACACACATCATGCGTAAGTGCACACACGCTTGCACATTTGCAAACTCATTCACACTCACATGTGCACACACTCATACACACACACACTCTCACATACACACACACACATTTTTGTAAATCTTTTCCATGCCATTGCTGCTGAAGTTTAGGCTGGTGAAGGACGGACTTATGGTGTGTGTGTGTGTGTGTGTGGGTGTGGGTGTGTGGGTGTGTGTCTGTGTCTGTGTGTGTCTGTGTGTCTGTGTGTGTGTGTGTGTGTGTGTGTGGGAGAGAGAGAGAGAGCACTATTCCACATAGTCCTGCTGGTCCTTCTAGCCCAGTGGTTTTGACTGAAAGCCTCCCACTGAGTGAGGTGTTATTCAATAATCTTTCCTCTGGATGTTTGGTGATTAAATAAATGGAGTTACTCAGGATTGTACGACTTCATGAGTTTGAAGAAGTGCATGTAGTTCAAAACTAGTACGTTTTAAGTTAGTATTCATGATGTTTTTCTACTGTTGTTCTGTGTATTTGCTATATGGTATTATAGAGAGGGTGCATTGGTTAACTGGTCTGCATATTTAATAAATTAGACCTGGGTGATGAGTTAAGGGATTTTTATTTCAACCACATATTAAAGATGAAGAAAGTTTGATTTGATGGAACTCTGTACATTTGCTCGGCTTTTTTAAATATATTAATATAAAATAAAATTATAATGTTATTTTAAAGACTTTTCTTCATGAGTGCACATCTCACATCTGACGTCTTGTTTCGTACTACAAGATTAAAAAGAACAATATTAAAACTATAAACGTATAATTATATATTAAAATAATAATAAAACATAACTGCAAGTTTACATCTCACTTTTGGTTTGTGTCTTGGAAATGTGGGATTTATTTCTGCCATTGGATAAAAACATAAAGAACTTCATAAATAGCAGACTATGATGTATTTACAGTATACACTCACCGGCCACTTTATTAGGTACACCTTACTAGTACCAGGTTGGACCTCTTTTTGCCTTCAGAACTGCTTTAATCCTTTGTGGAGTAGATTCAACAAGGTACTGGAAGTATTCCTCAGAGATTTTCATCCATATTGACATGATATCATCACACAGTTGCTGCAGATTTGTCAGTTATGTGAATCTCCCATTCCACCACATCCCAAATGTGCTTTATTGGATTGAGATCTGGTGAGTGTGGAGGCCATTTGAGTACAGTGGACGCCTTGTCATGTTCATAAAACCAGTCTGAGATGATTCACGCTTTATGACATGGCATGTTATCCTGCTGGAAGTAGGGTACACTGTGGTCATAAAGGGATGGACATGGTCAGCAACAATACTTATGTAGGCTGTGGCGTTGACACGATGCTCAATTGGTACTAATAAGCCCAAAGTGTGCCAAGAAAATATCCCCCACACCATTACACCACCAGCAGCCTGAACCGTTGATACAAGACAGGATGGATTTATGCTTTCATGTTGCTGACACCAAATTCTGAGCCCACCATCTGAATGTTGCAGCAGAAATTGAGACTCATCAGACCAAGGAACATATTTTCCAATCTTCTATTGTCCAAGTTTGATGAGCCGGTGTGAATTGTAGCCTCAGTTTCCTGTTCTTAGCTGACAGGAGTGGCGCCCTGTGTGGTCTTCTGCTGCTGTAGCCCATCCGCCTCAAGGTTGGACGTGTTGTGTGTTCAGAGATGCTCTTCTGCAGACCTCATTTGTAACGAGTGGTTATTTGAGTTACTGTTGCCTTTCTATCAGCTGGAACCATTCTGGCCATTCTCCTCTGTCCTCTGGCATCAACAAGTCATTTGCGCCCACAGAACTGCCGCTCACTGGATATTTGTTCTTTGTTGCACCATTCTCTATAAACTCTAGAGATGGTTGTGCATGAAAATCCCAGGAGATCAGCAGCTTCTGAAATACTCAGACCATTCCGACTGGCACCAACAACCATGCCACATTCAAAGTCACTTAAATCAGCTTTCTTCCCCATTCTGATGCTCGGTTTGAACTGCAGCAGATCACCTTGACCATGTCTACATGCCCAAACGCACTGAGTTGCAGCCATGTGATTGGCTGATTGGAAATTTGCGTTAACAAGCAGTTGGACAGGTGTACCTAATAAAGTGGCCGGTGAGTGTACACGGGTCTGTTTTGATTTTAAACAAATGTAGTATAATAATAATGTTTACTGTTCATTTTATTATCATTATTAGACAGTTCTGGTTATTTTTATCCATGGTGCTGATAATCACCCTCACATTTTCCTATCTAGTGAACAGATGTGCAATAAATAAGACCACAAGCACTTCCTTCTTTCCTCTAATATGTGACAGAATGAAATTAAGTTGACTTTAATTCTCGATTCTTCACATCTGGACCCTGCTGTGGTGCGCATTAGCATAATTGAAGTGTAAATGCAATTTGGTAAAGGATTACCCCAAGTTTACTTTAAGCTCTTTAATTGTCAAATTGCATATTAGCAGGAATACTCTCTTTGATTTTGGGATTTTAAGAAGAGAAAAGCAGAAGTGAGATGTGGAAAACAAGCCGAAGTTACCGCACTCACCATAGTATTCCTCATAAGTTTTAGGAGATCGTCGAGCACGCCGTTTGAAGAAGTTTGAGGCATCAGATGCTGGCACGAAAACTTGCTTAGATGGTCCTGCAAAAACAATAGAGTAAGAGGAAAAAGTGTGTGCATGTGTGGGTGTGTGTGTGTTGGACTTACCTTGAGCTTTCCTGTCTTTTCCATCTTTAACAGCTGCACTTTCAACCCCAGTCAGCGCTAAAGAAAAAAAGAGTTTATATGAATAACAGTTGATTTTCTTTAGCTGATATTGTGTTTTGGGAATGTTTATGAGATCTTTAATACATATATTTAATTTAGACCTGTTTAACTAAATTTTTATTAGTTTTTTTTTTTTTGCTATTCTGAGATTGCATCTCACCACAGGATGTTTTTTAATGGGCAATTGTTAATTTTTTCCCTCATCTGTTGTTTTATATATATATATATATATATATATATATATATATATATATATATATATATATATATATATATATATATATATATACGTTTTATATAACTTGTTTTAATAACATTTTTTCTCTTCCACAAGATCAAGATTAAAAATAAAAAAATCTCACAAATATGCTTTTTTCTTAAAATTCTGAATGTATAATGCTGAAATTGCTATATTTATTAGAATTTGTGTTATATTTATATTATTTTACAGCCACTGGATGAAAATATAAATCTTTACCTCAATATTGACAATTTGTTTTCTTGAAATTCTTGTTATGACCACTTTTATTTTGAGTTTAAAGTGTAAAATTACGTGATATGGTTGAAGCACATCAAGAAATGAAAGCAATTGTGAATAAATAAACCAAATATATTGTGAAGCGTGCTTTCAAACAAATTCAAAACATTTATTAGACATGCTGCTGTGGTTACAACTTTAAAATAATAAAAAATAATAATAATAAACATCTTTTTTAATATCATAGCTTATGAATATGATTAAATTATTAAATACAATGCTATAAATCAAAGTACCAACAAATCCTGGTAAATAAAAAATGGTTAAATAAGATTTTTTAGGCATGTTTATTATCATTTATTTTTAATATATACAACTAAACATCTTTTAATTATTGGTTTCATTTGTTTTGGTATATATATTTGTGCGTGTGCATATATATAAATATATATTAAATATGTAGTGTTGTTACTCACCGATCAGCACGAGGACTGTGGGCAGCAGCGAGAGCAGGACAGTGTGAGTCCAGGCCATAATTAAGATCAGAGTGTCTTGAGCTGGTACCAGAAGCACAGTCTGAGTCTGAGACCTGGGAGAGCATGTGTTTGATAGAAAGAGAGAGTGAGAGAAGAGGGACGAGGGAAGGAAAGGAGGGGCAGCTTTTAAATTCACTCGTATGAGAGAGAGAGAGATCTGGACTCGACTGATCAGACTAGACTGACCCTCTGCTGCTGTCCACACTTCTGATTCTGGCAGGTTTACAGCTGAGTTTCAGGTTCACATTCCTTAGAAATCAGTGAAGCTGCAGGTCGTCAGGATTAAACCGATTAACTATAGCAGCACTTTCAGCTGTCATCAGAAGTGATATTGCCTGCATTCCTCTCACATAAAACTGTCTTTCATTTGTTTGTTCGTTCTATCATTCTCTTTTCTTTGTTGGTTAATTTATTCTTTCACTTATTAATGCTCTGCATTTTCAATTGTTTTGTCATTCTGTGTTTTCTCTATTCGTTTTTGTTTTTTTGTAATTTTTGTTTTTATTTTTGTTCTGTATATATTTGTTCAGTGTATTGTTTGATTATATCTACCTACCATTTCTTCCTATCCATCCATCCCTCCATTCTGTCGTTCCCTCCATCCATCCGTCAATTCATCTGTCTGTCGTTCCCTCCATCCATCCGTCAATTCATCTGTCTGTCGTTCCCTCCATTCATCCGTCAATTAATCTGTCTGTCGTTCCATCCATCTATCCATCCATCCATCCATCCATCCATCCATCCATCCATTAATTCATCTGTCTGTCGTTCCATCCATCCACCCATCTGTCTGTCTTTCCATCCATCCATTCATCCATCTGTCTGTCGTTCCAATCATCCATCCGACTATTCATCTCTGTCGTTCTATCCATTCATCCATCTGTATGTCGTTCCATCCATCCATCTATCCATCTGTTCTTCTATTCAGCCACCCGTCGTTCCATCCATCCATCCTTCCATCCACCCATCTCTCTGTCATTTCATTCATCCATCCATTAATCTGCCCGTCGTTTCATTCATTCATCCATCTGCATGTCTTTCCATCCATCCATTCATCCATCTGTCTGTCGTTCCATTCATTCATCCATCCATCCATTCATCTCTGTCGTTCCATCCATTCATCCTTCTGTATGTCGTTCCATCCATCCATCCATCCATCCATGCATCTGTTCTTCCATTCATCCACCCATCTGTCTGTCATTCCATTCATCCATCTATCTATCCATTCATCTGTCTGCCATTCCATCCATTTATCCATCTATATGTCGTTCCATCCATCCATTCATCCATCCATCTATCTGTCTGTCGTTCCATCCATCCATTCATCTGTCTGTCGTTCCATCCATTCATCCATCTGTATGTCTTTCCATCCATCCATCCATCTGTTCTTCCATCCAGCCATCTTTCGTTCCTTTCATCCATCTATTCATCCATCTGTATGTCGTTCCATCAATCCATCCATCTATCCATTTGTCGTTCCATTCATCCATCTGTATGTTGTTTCATCCATCCATCCATCCATCCGTCTGTCGTTCCATCCATCCATTCATCTGTCTGTCGTTCCATCCATTCATCCATCTGTATGTCTTTCCATCCATCCATCCATCCATCTGTTCTTCCATCCAGCCATCTTTCGTTCCTTTCATCCATCTATTTATCCATCTGTATGTCCTTCCATCGATCCATCCATCCATTTGTCATTCCATTCATCCATCTGTATGTCGTTTCATCCATCCATCCATCTGTCGTTCCATCCATCCATCTGTCGTTCCATCCATCCATCTGTCATTCCATCCATCCATCCATCCATCATTCTGTATACTATCCATTCATTTTTCTGTCTATTGCTCTATTGTTAATGAGACATATTTATATTATTTATTAAATTATACATTAATTGTATTTTATATTAACATCTACCCCACCCCGACCCTAAACCCAAGCATCACAGTAATTTAAAAAACAGTAATTATACAGAATATTATTCATACTATTTATTAAAGTACCCAATCAATTGTAATTTATTAATATCTACCTCTACCCCAACCCTAAACCCAAGCCTCACAGTAATGTAATAAATATTTATCACACAAATTAATTGTTTTCACTACTTTTTTTAGCAGGTTACTGGTCAAAAGGTGTACAGATTAGAGGTGAAGATCATGCAGATAAGATACACACACCTAAAGCGGCTCAGATTACATTTCATACCTACAGCCAGCCATGGATATTGATATTATTATGCTCAAGAATGTCTGTATCAGTAAGTAAAACTGACAGAAAGGAAAAGAATTAGAGTAACTACTAGCAGACAGGGAATGTCAGGAAATGAGAAACAGACATGCTGATTGTTTAAAAGAAGAGATTACCAGCTATATATATTTAGTGCTTCTTAGATTGCCATCTGTTTGTCTCTCAATGAAATGTATCAAGGAAAACCTCCATATTGAATCAATGATTTTCCCCTTTATGGGCTGGTTTGGCTATAGGGTGTGCATGTGCATTTATGAGGCATTTTTCATGCTGCGTAAATGGATTCCTGCGAGTCTGGATTCAATCCAGGTATTTTCTTCAGCTCTGAGTCTCCATAAAGCAGACACCCCAGGAAACAGTAGTGTCCCCAGCCATTCTATATTATATACACACATGCACACATTAAGGACAGCATGTGAAATACTATTCCATGCTTAGGATGATTTTCCCAAAGGTTCCTCTCTGCTCTGGAGAATCAATCTTTCCCAAGAAAACAGCCATTAACTTGAGTTCCCCTCTCAAAGGAACACTTAAAGGGATAGTTCACCCAAAAATGTGAATTCTATCATCTTGTACTCTCCCTTTACTAGTTCAAAACCAAGTTTTTTTTTCTGACGTTGAACACAAAAGACGATATTTTGAAGAATGCTATAGCTGGCACACATTGACTTCCATTGTAAACATGTTTTCCTACACTCTTTGCTGTTTGTTCAAACGGCTTATTTAAAATGAGCTGAAACAATACAATTCTTGAGATCTTTGGAGGGACAACCTAATTGTTTTATGTATAAGTCGCTTATATTTGTTATGTTAACTTAATCGTTTGATTTGTGTTGGGACAACATGAATGAATTCTGCATTTTTTACAGTGTATGGAAGTCGACGGGTCACACAAACTAGCATTCTTCAAAATATCTTCTTTTGTGTTCAACAGAACGGTTTTAAACAAGGGAGAAAAAATGAGGATTATTTTTGATTGTGCTACACTTAAGTTACTTCAAATCCATACTTTCATCTCTAAAATTCTCGACTTTGTATGGCATTATTAAATATGGTTTGTTTTGGGCCGCTTGGTGACTTGTGAGCCTCTTTTATTACTGTATGTCATTTTTTGGGCCTGTGTCTTTTTACCAAATGGAAACGTGCAGCATGAACATTTTACTAAACATCTTAATATGGGTTTAAAATGGCCTAATGTTGGAAAATGATGACAATGTTATTTTTTTGAATGTGCTATCCCTTTAAAAAGTATTGTTTGCGTCAGTGGAATATTCCAAAAATGCAAGTCACTGGAATTTGAGAGTAAGAAAAACCGAGACAGGTAAAGCAAAATGAATACATGTGGCTCCAATTATATATTGAGGTCTTTACATTACATTATGGTCTATAAATATATGATTCCCTTTGACTGGAAAGTGTACAATAAAACTTTTTAAAGCATAGGTAGATCACACTTTGAAATAAATGCACTGCTGCACTAAATCACGGTAATCCATTTTACTTGTAGACCATTTCAATACGGCGATAACTTTGGTCCATGAACAGTTCCTGCTTGTCTTAGAACTTTTTCAGAACTGTAACAAGAGGCCATCCAGTCATAACAAATGTTGACACGGCTGTCATTAAAAAAAGCATCAACATGTAAAGCTTTCTGGATTCTCAGAAGCTTTAGAAATGAAAGCTCTAAAACAGGAAATACATTTAGACCATTGTTATTGTTTACATCCCTCAAAATAGTCTATATATGTAGGTCTAAACATTACTTTCAATATTATTGCCTTTACTCCCCAGACTTGGCAAACAATCTTGAATCTGTTCATACAGTTTGGAGCTTGAACTTTTTGTTGTATAATATTTGATGTGGTATTAAAACATAGGCCTTCATTTTATTTATTTTATACTCTTAAAGTATTGGCACGGCCTTGCATTTTCTAAACCAGCAAATACCACAACTTCAGCAGCAACAACAACAACAATAAAAAAAGATCTTTTATTGTGCTGCCAAATTTTGGGGTGAGCAAATTTTCAATTTGGGTGAATCCCTTTAAGCTCCACACTTTAAAAAAATGAGCTGCTTGTTAACTACTTATTTAAAACGAGCTTAATCGACACAATTTTTGAGTTTTCTTCAGGGAAAGCTGAATTATATTATGTTTAATCCACTTAAATGTGCAAAAACAGCTAACTTAATTGATTTATGTTGAGATAACATAAAGGAATAGTGTGGAACCAGTGTATCTAGTAAGTTAGCATGAGCATTTTTCTGAAATCTCTCTTGGTGTTTGTCTCCAAGATTGTTTTTTGTTGACAAGGTGTGGTTTGAATTGGCCTGCATGAGTTTGTACCTTCGGACCACTTTAAATAGCCTAAATAGCCACTTAGCGCACTTACCTTTTCTGCTAAAAGGCCATTTGATTTTCATGGAGTCCGCAGTCTGGGCACGGATGGTATTTATTATACGTGTGTATGCACTGAAAGAAACAAACAAGCATTCATGGCTGCTCTTAAAATGCCCACTTTTTCTGCTTTTAATCAGTATGATCAAAGATTTGGATAACAGTTAGCCAGTAAATATATAAATAGATGGTTTATTTTGCTCACATCTGCTAAATCGAGGTTGAAAAACCGCCAGCGCCTGATATCAATTCAAAAGGGGCTGGTGTGCACCCAAAAAACGTGCGCAAGTGGGTGAGGAAAATATTCCTGTACTAAAATGCAGGTTTTATTGTGTGTGTGAGCGTAGACAGTTCCTAAAAAATGTATTTTTGTTTGTGTGTGCGTAAATATTTAGTTAATTTATCATTGTTTTTTTTTCTTTTGTGCAAATGGCTTTGTTATAGTTTAATAATGTAAATATATGTATATTAATAGTTTTTAAAAGTTAACAGCTTGTAAAAAAAACAAAAAACAAGCTTCATATTTACCTTCTAATCCAGCTATCATAAATAATAATGTCCTTTTATTGACTTCTGGTCACACAATAACATCAATTTAGACAGTTTATTGAAAATAAATGTTTATTGCATTTAAAATATGCACAATTATGTGGTAGAAACTTGTATTAGATCAAAACACAAGTAGTGTTGTTAAGGCAAAATTACTAGTGCTGTTTACTGTAAAGGGATAGTTCACCCAAATATTTCAATTTACGCACTTTTTACTCTCTCAAGTTTCTTTATTCTGTTGAACAATAAGGAATACATTTTGGAGAGAAATGAAAACCTGTAACCATTGACTTCCATAATAGGAAATACTATGGATGATAATGGTCACAGGTTTCCAGCATTTTTCAAAATATCTGTTTTTTTTTTGGTCAAAAGAAAGAAACTTATGTGTTTGAAACAAGTAAAGTTGGAGTAAATGATTACAGAAATGTCATTTTTAGGTGACTGTCCCTTTAAATACTGCTATAGACAAATAGTGAGGAACTGTTCAGGTCGCCTCTTAATGCAGGGTTTCCGCAGGGTCTTACATTTCAAAAACTTTATTTTAGGCCTGTTAAAGTCTTCAGTTCATTGGAATATTATTTTGAAGATTATCTTTAAGCATTTTAAACAGGTCTTAATTTTCCTGTGTCCATGTGAAACTACTCAGTCGGGCAGACAAACACCAGCAATCCATCTCAATAAAACGTATACCTCTAACTCTGTTTATCAATATGGTTCAGTTTTCTTTCCCACAATAACATCAGTTTAAAAGTTCTCAGTGTATTTATGGACCATATGTGGTGAGGACCACCACCTGGACAGACTGTTGTGCATACATTTAGATTATTATAGTTGTCAAAGTGTTCTGTTGAGGTAATATTAAAAAATGTTTATGTATGTGGGTTTGCTTGTTCTGACACGTTATTTAAAGTCTGTAACTAAGAAATAACTCATTCGATTTTTTCGAATGGCGCAAGTAAACCTCTTTTCTGCATGTAAACTTCTTAAATACTTACTGTTTAGCGCTGTGTTAGTCTGAAATTTCATTTATAATGGTCTTACAAAGTTTTAAACACAAAACCTGCAGAAACCCTGTAATGTTTTCCAGAATAAAATGTACAAGAGCTGACTTTTAAGTACACTTTTAAGGGTCACAATTTATTTTGAAGGTCCATTTCTTGCATTTAAGTTACACTGCATCTACATGCCAACTAATTTTCATTAGATTGTAAGTAGACTATTAAATTGGGGTTAGGGTTAGTGTAAGCTGACATGTACAGTATTTGCAAACTTTCTTATAGTCAGTTAAATGTCTGTTGAAGGAACATTATCAACAGATCAAGACAGTCAACAGAATCAGACAGTCTACTAATACTCAACAGGACTATCAAAATAAAGTGTTACCCACTTTGTAGCACCTAAAAGATCTGTATCAGTACCTTAAAGTTATCTTTTAGTACCTAATGGGTACACAGTAGTGCCTAAAAAGTAAAAAAATGTAGGGTACAACCTCAGTGACAACTCTATTTTCTGAGAGTGTAGTTCTGTTTACATCTAACATTCATCAAAACTATATGAGTTCCTTTTATATTCCAGAATAACCAGTTAAAAGCTCTCATTTCTTTGTCTTTGATTCCATCCAAAACTTCATTCACATTAGCAAAAACCAGGTGCTTATTTGTATACATTCCACATTAAAGCTGATTTAAAAACATTTCAATTTTACTTTCCGATGTTCCTCAAATTGTGATCAAAGTGCTACTGCATCACTCGCTAATCACTTGCAGGAAAAACGCTCTCACGAACACCTGAAGTATTAATCCAAGACAATGAATTCCCAATGCTTTGAAATCTGCCACAGGAAGACGCTAACATTACAATGTCTGGCTTTCGTTATCATTAGATTAGTATCAGAACTGATCGTCCCACTCCTTAATTAAGTGACTACAGTGCCACCTTATGGCCATTCTGAGTGGATACGCTGGCGAATCACATTGATATTCTGTCCCCTTGAACCAGACGTCCCCGTATAGCCCAGGTGTCCTGCATTCAGAACAATACACATGTTAAAAACCGCATTAATCCAAATGACGGAAAATTTTGAAGTTGAAGTCGTGAACGCACCGCGAAAGTGACCGAATCATCAGCTCCGAACTTCCTAGATGCAAGGTCCTTCACTTCGTTGCTAATGTTTTCTTGAGTTGTTCCATTCACATCAATGTAATAGCAGTCACCGCTGGCGTAGTGACAGGAGATGGCCTGAAATAAATGCACATTGATTTTTTAAAGTGTGTGATTTTAATTACACACAATCAGAAAAAATATATTAATTAAATTTACTATTTACTATTTTTATATCACTTAAATTTACTTTTTAATGTATCATTAATGAAATGTATCGATTTAAAGGATTCTCGAAAATTTATTGATCATCAATTAATTGTTGACATCTCTATATAATGTTAGTAATCAAGTCGCATGTTGACAAAGCATTAAAAGTCAGAAGTGTGTTAATATTGTGCATCTAAACTATTAATATCTGGATGCAGCCTTTATGATGCAAGCTGAGATTGCATCACTCAGCGATGCAATGTCAGACACAATGCACTCAAATAGACAGAGTGACGTCACTGTGAGGGGTAGGGTAAAGGGTGGGGTTAGGTGAGGCCATTAAAAAGCATTGGATGCAGCCCAGATTGCACTGCACCAGGTCTGCATCCAGACACCTCATATCTAAGCGGGTATTTGTACTCATGTTTTTGATTAGATATTTTTATTTATCGGCCAGGTGAACATAAGACAAAGACTAAAAACCTTTCGAAATCCATTGGTTTGGTTCATTCCTGAACCGTGGATCAGCAAAGGATGGAAAAACACAGTATCTCCTTTCTCCATCTCTAAATGCACTCTGGGATGGTTTGGGTCGTAGTTCCGCACCCCGTGGTACATCTTATTTACTCCACCCTGAAAGGAAACACATAGGAAAAATTAGTTTTTCTTCTTCAAATATTTCCCAAATGATGTTTAACAGAGCAAGGAATTCTTCACAGTATTTCCTATACTATTTTTTCCTCTGGAGAAAGTCTTATTTGGTTTATTTTGGCTAGAATAAAAGCAAGTTTTTATTTTTTTTAAAACCATTTTGAGGTCAAAATTATTAACCACTTTAAGCCATATATTTTTTCAGTTTTCTACAAAACAAACAACTGTTATACAATGACTTGCCTAATAATCCAAACTTGTCTAATTAACCTAGGTAACCCTTTAAATGTCACTTGAAGCTGAATACTAGTATCTTGAAAAATATCTAATCAAATATTTACTGTCATAATGGCAAATATAAAATAAATCAGTTCTTAGAGATGAGTTATTAAATCTATTATGTTTAGAAATGTGTTGAAAAAATCTTCTCTTCATTAAACAGAAATTAGGGAATATCAAATTTAGGAGAGCTAATAATTCTTAGCATTTGTCTGCTTCTTACCTCCCATTCTGGGTAGTCGTGTTCCTGCAGGGAGCCGCGGTGTGAGCCGGGCAGGACGACCAGACACCCGTTTTCTCTGTGCACTTTCTCCATAGCCGTCCAGGAACACACTATACGATCTGCGGGTCTGAAGGGGAAGTAGTGCAGGTCCTGGTGCATAGGATGGCGGGAGGTCTTCTTACCTATAGAGGGTAAAAACAAGTGGGAATATAGGCGCTACTAGTCAAATTTAGGACTTATAAATGCATACAGTTAATGTCAAAATAATTAGCCCTACTGTCAAATTTTAATTCTTTGATTCTAAAGGATTCCCATTTGTTGCTTAATCGAGAGAAGATCATTTCAACACACCTTTAAACATAATAGTTGTTTATTTCCAATAACAACTATTTGACATTGCATAATATTTTTCTATTTATTTTGCAAGATGCTAGTATTTGGCTTAAGGTGGAAATTAAAGACTTAACAAGGTTAGGGTTAGGATAATTAGGCAAACTAAAGGACAACAGCATCTTTTATTTCAGTCAAACTTAAATAAAAAACAAGACTTTCTCCAGAAGAATGAATATTATAGGAAATACTGTAAAAATGTCCTAGTTCTGTTAAACATCACTTGGGAAATATTTGCAAAATACATTGCATACAAATTTCACTGGAGTGCGAATATTTTCACGTCAACTGTACTTAAAAGTATAGATCTCATTTCTTCATATATTATTTTTTATTAAATTATTAAAATAAAAAGATATATGTAGATACAATTCTTTAAATAGTGGTAATATAATATATATTATATCATGTAATATATTCCTATTATTACTACTGTGGTTTAGACACTTTTTTTTTTAATGATGCAATTTTTTATTTTCTTCAGTAATTTAACAGTACCTTTTAACATCCCCTTTTCCCTCCCCTCCCTAACAGCGGAAGTGGCTGTAATTAGATGTTGCTATCATAAATCCAGTAAATACAGATAAATAACATAAACTCAATTAAAATAAATAAATAAAATAAATGAATCCACGGTTTAGACACTTTTGATGTAGAGTATTATGTGATTTATTACAACTTTAGTACTGTTAATTACTATTGTTAGTACTGCTTTGAATTTGATGGCTTCATACGTATGTGTAAATATAAAAACATATAAATAACATATATATTCACATACAGTTGAAGTTAGAATTATTAGCCCCCCTGATTTATTAGTCCCTGTTTATTTTTTTCCAAAATTTCTGTTTAACGGAGAGAAGATTTCTTTAACGTATTTATAAACATAATAATTTTAATAACTAATTTCTAATAACTGATTTATTTTATCTTTGTCATGATGACATTAAATAATATTTGACTGGATATTTTTCAAGACACTTCTATACACCTTAAAGTGACATTTAAAGGCTGAACTAGGTTAATATATACTAGGCAACTAGGCAGGTTAGGGTAATTAGGCAAGTTACCGTATAACAGTGGTTTGTTCGGTAAACTATCGAAAAAAAAATCTTAAAGGGGCTAATAATTTTTACCTTAAAATGGTGTTTAAAAAAATTAAAAACTGCTTTTATTCTAGCCGAAATGAAACAAATAAGACTTTCTCCAGAAGAAAAAATATTATCAGACATACTGTGAAAATGTCCTTGCTCTGTTAAACATCATTTGGGAAATATTTAAAAAAGAAAAAATAATTCAAAAGGGGGCTAATAATTCTGATTTCAACTGTGTGTGTGTGTGTGTGTGTGTGTGTGTGTGTGTGTGTGTGTGTGTGTGTGTGTGTGTGTGTGTGTATATTTATTTATGATAATTTTTTTCATATTATTTAAAATAGCATATATTATTTTAAATAATAATTTAAAATAGCAATAGCAAATTAATGTAATAATATAAAAAAATAATCATAAATATAAATATAAATATATATATATTTATATATATATATATATATATATATATATATATATATATATATATATATATATTTATATTTATGATTATTTTTTTATATTATTAAATTAATTTGCTATTGCTATTTTAAATGCTATTTTAAATTATTACGAACTTCCAATTCTAGACTATAATTATTACGTAAAATGTACATTTATTTCAGATATTATTTAAAAAATCCCTAGAATATTCTCCTGCTTATCAGGCTTATACCGTGTCTACCCAAGGATGTTAATTCAAAAACACATCCGACTTGGGCAACTGAAGCATTGATATTTACCTGTGTCTGGTGGTTTGTTGATGAGCATAGTGTGCATGGCCATGATGTTGGGTCCAGTGAAACACTCCACATACTTCAGGATCTGAGAAACAAACATTTTAAATGATTATATATGAATGTGCTCTTGTTGTAAAGAGTGTTATATATGCATTAAGCTTGGGTCTACCTGGGGTAAAACGCAGTAGCGGAAAAGCTCTGGATCTTCTTGATAATCCTGAAGTTTGGTCACAGCCTTCTCGCCCTCAACAAACTCTGATTTAGCGATCGAAACATCTTTCATTACCGTCAAACCAGGCACCTTCACCTCTCTCTTACAGATGCGCTCAAACTCGTTCCTACAAAACACACACAAGCACCTGGTTATGAGCAAAGTAGAGCGCTGACCGCTTTTTTTATCAGCGTTTCTGTAAATGATTTACATTGTGTTTACATAATCTCCTGTTAATGGAGCTGAAAAGAACTTCTGATTGATTTATTGTGGAATAATGCATTGAATTTTAAAATAATACACACATGGTTATGGTCATGAATTGATATAAACCTATTGGATTCTTGGATTTTATTTAAAGAATGCATGGTCACACTTTACAATAAGCTTTCAGTAGTTAGTGTATTTGCTGATATGAACTAATAATGATATCATATACAGCATTTATTAATCATAGTTCAACATTTACTAAACATCCAGATTCATGCTTGTTAACATTAGTTAATACACTAAGTTAACATGAACTAATAATAAACAACTCTATTTGTATTAACCAACACAGGGTACAACGCTAAGGATTTTTTCTACTGGCCCAATCGAACCAGTGGTTCAGATTTTTACTTGCCCTGCCAATATTTTCACTGGCCCCACTAAAAAAAAAAGTTAATAGCTATTTCTTTGCCACAAATAAAACAAAATGTGTCAAAATGTTTGTAAATATAGAATTTAAATAATTTTTAAATAACTATAAATGTGTAATGAGCAAAATTGTAAGTGTTTTGAAACAAAAGATGGCTAAAGACCTGCCAAACTGTGCAAAAGATCACTTATATTTTTTAGTCGTGGTGTACCCTGGTATATGTCTGCTTCCAAGACGTTACAAACAAATGTTTTCCTTTAGCATCATCATTAGATGTTACCGCTATGTTGCTGTCTCTTCGCTGTACTAATAACGTGCTCACAACATCCAATCAGATAAGAAAAACCGAGAAGGTAGCATTTGAAGGCTTGAAAATACGAACTGTTTCTCAGTTCTAAAACTGTATTTGCACGCAATCGACAACTAGTCACAGGCAAATTAAACTTTAGTAACAAGGCAGCAGTGGCCCGATCGGGCCAGTAACGATCCTGTCTACTGTCCCGAGTATGGAACAAAATCCATGCCAAAAGTCTTGAATTAAAAAGCTTGTTGAATATCACAAACTGGAAAAAAAAATACACCGTATTAACAAGTTCTTGCATTTTAATGACTTGAATTCCGGGGTTTGTATTTTTAGGTCCTGAAATTTAACATATCTGTTTATTTAAGCTGTGAAGATTTCAGCTAAAAATATTTCAAACACGTTTTCATACTTATAAATTCGATAATTCATTTTCAATTTCCAGATTTCACTAACAAAATATTCAATACCCTTTAAAAATACGATGTATAATATTCAAAGGGCAATTTTCAGTTCATTTTATTTCAGTTCAAATATTCGCTTCCATAAATTCAGTGGATCAAATCCAACTGCTAAAATTCAACATTACATCCGGGAACTGCAGGAACAGCAATAGATGGCAGATTGAAGATCGCCAGCTGCTCATTCACCAGCAGGTTCACATAAACCGTCTTTTGACGAATATGATGTTACACAATGTCTATGTTTATTAACTCTTTCTTAATCTTAAATTATTCCATCTCCACCTGCTGGTGAATGAGCAGCTGGCGATCTTCAATGTTATAAGTATGAAAACGTGTTTGAAATATTTTTAGCTGAAATCTTCACAGCTTAAATAAACAGATATGTTACATTTCAGGACCTAAATATACAAACCCCGGAATTCAAGTCATTAAAATGCAAGAACTTGTTAATAAGGTATATTATTTTTTTCAGCAAGCTTTTTAATTCAAGACTTTTGGCATTGATTTTGTTCCATACCCGAGTGTCTCACACGCTGGCCCCGGGCCATCGGGCAGTCCTTATTGTTGAGCCCTGCAACATTACCAAAACATGAATAAATACTGTAATAACTGTATTGTTCACTGCTTGTTCATGTTAGTAAATGCATTAACTAATATAACCTTATTGAAAAGTGTTAAAGAATACACTAATATCAACATTTCCAACCTAAACTAAGGTTTGTATAAGATAAAACATCAAAGAAATATAAATTAAATGTGACTTTAAAAGTCATTTAAATTGTTTTATTCTTCTCTCGTTACATATGTTGCATATCACTGGCTGAAAGTCCATGGCTTTCCCTTTCATAATCAATATTACATCATATTACATAACTGATAACGTGCGTTTCTGTCATATTTTTATTAATTGAAGCAAGCTTTCCTGTCATTTTTCAGCTATGTTTGTATGCAAACACAAAAATAGGCACTTATATTAGTAATTACATTGAATTAATGTATGTTTTAGTGCATTTAACTAAAATGTTTGGATCAGACTTGCTTGAATCTGTCAATGTCCTCTTCTGATACCAAATTTCGGATGAGTATGAAGCCATTTTCTTCATATGCGATTATCTGTTCTTGTGTCAGGACATCCGTATCAAAAGTGTATCTGCAGGGGGTAAAACATACTTTACAAACGTTACTTATGTGATATTTTAATGATTAACCAAATAGCATTCGGTTAAAATCTCTATTTCCATTCTTAAATAGTCAATTCAACGTATTTTCAATCACATTAACAGACTAAAACACATGCAAACAGCCTATATCACGCGTTGCATAGACACGCTTGTCCATCTTTCATGGACAAGATGATGACACAAATGCATTAAAAGATCAGCTGACTAACTGAAGGCTTTGAGGATGATGATGGTAGGACACATTCTGTGCTGAAGTGAAGGACGCTCGCTGAAGGAAACAAGTTAAAGATCATAAAATAAATGCGTTTATATCAACGTATTCACATGATCACTTCGCAAAGCACATAACAAAACAAATCAGTCATGGCAATACATAGTTCATAATTAAATTATGCATTCCCAAATATTGTTTAAAACACAATAAAAAGCATTAAACAATAAACCAGGCCTCTCCCTGACGCCTCGGTCTCTACTGTAAATGTGATCCGGACAGTGTGACCGCAGGCGCGCGACTTCAGTGTGCTCGCTCAAGGGCGCGTTCACGGTGTAGATCTAGTATTACTCCAAAAAATCCTCCGCGAAAAGGATACGACAGCGTCGTGAGACCGATCCAGATGATTCAAAACCACCTTCAGTCTGTCTGCAGCCCGGGACATCTTTAATCCAGTACAGTCGACGAGGTGAACTGAACTGTGCGCGTTTGATGGTGCTTATATAACGGTAACTGGAGTAAAGTGCACGGACACTTGTCCTACATACAGCACCATAAAGGCGCAATGATGACATTTTATTTACATTACTCATTAACTAATACAAAACATAATAATAACAACAACAGTGTGAACACATACAAACAACAATAAATACATTTTAAGCAAAAAAAAAAAAAAAAAAAAAAACAATTTAGCAAAAAAAAATCAATAAGACAATGTAAAGTGTTTTATTTCTTTGTTTTTTATATACAAGAAAATAACATCACTGCACTGAAGAGAAAATACAATAACAAAAGTTAGAGATAAGAAAATAAAATTTACAAAGCCTCAATCATTAAGAAATAAGATTTGCATAAGCTTTAACTTATTTCTTTTTATTAATAAGTTTAAGAGATTGCATCCTATAATACATTGTTATATTCCATCATGGCCTGTTTAATTGTTGTATTATACTAGCAGAAAAGACTATCAGGTCTTTACTGTGATTTAAAGACAACTACTATAACGTCAATAGTTTATTTCCAAACAAATCTTTTTAAAGCATATTTTAAAAAATGTCAAAACTGGCTGTGGATATTTTTTTCATGATGAAAGACAGTAGGATTGGAATTGTTCGACATTAAATTAGTAATTAAATATTTATTTAATTATCATACTATACTATACATGTATTTCAGTATAATTTTTCCTTATTATTATTATTATTAATATTATTTCATTATTTTTAAATGTTGATAGAATGTACACAAGATGTGAAATCATGCTCATTTTTGAATAAATAAAAATTTTGCTGTAAATTACCCCTTTAAGAAGTATCTGTAAAACGACGTATAATGTACTGGCAATAATAATAATAATAATAATAATAATAATAAAAACATTAAATTAACAACTACAATATATGAACAACACCAGTAGTTCATTTCAAGCTAAATAAATAAATAGATGCATAAACAACAAGACAACATAGAGTAATACTGCTTTATTTATTTTTTAAAAATCATATATTACAACATGTCCTGTTAAATTTAGGTATTTTATTAGCAGAGATTGTTGACTATCAGATTTTTACCATAATTTAAAAACGACTACTAAAATGCCAACAGTTTATTTACAAACAAATCTTTTTAAGCATGTTAAATTTTTTGTCATTTTGGTTGTGGGTATATTTTCATGATGGATGAAGGTAGGATTAGGGTTGTTTAACATATTAAATTAGTAATTAAGTATTTATTTAATTATCATTATCAATTCACTATTAAATATGTTATTGCATATCCATCAGGCTAACTAAATCAAGTGCGCATATAAGTAATTCGCTATTTTATCATGAAATGTTGGCACTAAATAATATCTCTTTAGCAGTCGTAAAAAGGGACAACTGTAAAAAAGGGATTAGTTTCTAAAATCGAGTTAACCAATTGCCCTAAAAGAAACAAGTTGACTTAACAACAATAATGTAAACCCATTGTAACATGGAACTGTTAAGTTGACTTTTTTATTGTGCAAATTGTACTCACTTTTAAAAAATGAAAGTTAATCACTTTGTCAATACACATTTATTATATTAGTTTTTCTTCCCTCAGCTTTTCTGTATGTAGCAAAATGACAGTAACTAAAATAAATCTGCTCTTCCAGACTCCAATGTTTCTTTTAAACTCAATACAAACTATAATTGTAGATTTTATAGACCTGTTGCAGCACCAAATATTGTAACAATTGCAGTAATTACTTAAAAACAGACATGCTAAAATAGTCTGACACTGTAAAAAAGATTATTTGACTTTACAAAAGTGAATACAATCAGCATAATTATAAACATTTAACTTAACAGTTCCAAGTTACAATAGGTTTACTTACATTATTTTTTTAAAGTCAACTTGTTGGTTTTAAGGCAATTGGTTTACTCGCTTTAAGTAACTATAATCACTGTTTACAGTGTATAAGTATATTGACTGCATGGTCTTGACAAAATCAAATGCAAGGTCTAAAAGTTCTTATGTTATAAGCATTTGCAAGCAACAGCAGCCACTTAAGACGTTAAGAAGAAATCATGCTCGTTCTGCATCTGAGCATGAAACACAGCATTAGCCTTCGCCACTCTATCAGCTGTGTTCAGATACTTGTTCAGCAGAGCTTTATAGTGTTTCTCATGATTGCCGCCCATATTGCCCACCTTCCAGGTGAAGTAGGCATTGGTTGGAGGAATGTTCAGGTTATTAGCCAACCAACCCCAAAGTCTAGCACATGGCACAAGACCCACTACAAAATACACTGGCTCTTCAGCTAGCATGAGGTTTGTGTAGGTCGACAGATACTTTCTCATGGCTGGAGTTTGCTGAATTTGAGGCTCAGCCTGTGGAAAAAGACAGTATAAAGCATCTTCAGTGAATTCAGAAGCAACTTAAAAAATCTTAAGTGCATGTATTTAAATATTCCTACCTCAAACCAATAGATTTTCATCATGAAGTCGCTCAGTTTTCTGTAGCTTGCGTATCTGCCTTCTAGTAGCTTCTTGATGTCAATGGGGAGAGATTCGTTTGCACTCATTTTCTTCAACATATCGCCAACTTTCAGTGCGTAGTTTAGGTCTTGCATGGTAAAGTTGACGTATCGCTCCGCCTGCAGGGTGCCGTTCTCCATTTGCCTCAGAAAGTCCAGATGGAGCGTCTTTGCGGCGATGTCTTTATTGTTCTCCCATAGGTAGTCATAAACATCCTCCACAGATGTAACTTCCAAACTATCACTGGGAGAGCTACAGTGCGTGTACCTGTTATAGACATAAATAAAAGTGAAATCTTGGACAAGAGAATTAGTGATTGTTACTAGATAAGTGCAGTCTAATTAGTAAAAACGTAGGACTAATCAAAGGACCCTTTTCACATTTGTAGGTTTTTCAGTAGTGGAAGTCGTCATAGTCTTGTGAAAAAGGTCTATATATTAAGCTTAACGTTCATTAAAGAAATTAATCTGCCTGTGTTATGCTAATTTAAATGTTGCTAATTTAATCATGGAGGTCTCTCACAATACATTTACATCCATTCAAGGTTAAGTATAATTTTTTATACTTTCTGATTGCCACCTCTACTCTGATTGGTCGAATGGTCCAGTCTGTTGTGAGCACCATACAGTATGTGAATCTCTGTAGTTTTACTCAGCACTTGTAAATTGATGTGAACCGGTGTCGCTTTTACCATGTCCATTTGAATCCAAGTTCTTTGTGTGCAAAGTGGATTGTTTTTGCATTATACTCGCCATGAAAACACACAAAAACCAAACTCCTCCAGGCCTCAGGTTAAACTATGTGGTCTGAGAATTAAAGCAGATGTTTTTTGAAGACCATAAGCTATAATTATACACAGTTACAAATCTAGATACAGACTTACACCTCATTCACACAGGGCGTCAACGCTTCCCATTCACTTTGAATGGGTGACGTGAGGTGTTGCCGAACTGCAATGTGAATCCGTCGGCGCCGCTTTGGAAGCGTCAGCCAATCAGATTGCAGTATCTGCAAATACCCCAGCTAGACAGTGACCCATTGCTGACTGAATTTCATTGGCTGACGCTGCTATGATGATCACGTCAGCCCCAACTTCAGACATGCCTTCAGTCAAGCGTTGACGCTGAAGCCCCGTGTGAATGGGGCGCTAGAGAGCCACATGCAATTTCCTGAAATCAATTGAAAGCAGTTCACTGAAGTTTGAAGCATTGACATTCTGAGATGGCCAGCACAGAGTCCTGTTCTAAACCTGATTGAAAATCTCTGGAAAATCCTTGGCAACAATGTTATGGTTAACAAACCACAGTCAGTGAGCTGTTCAAGTGAAATTACGTCATTCAGAGCAAGGATGTGCACTTTTCCTATTTGATTTTGACCGCTGTAACCTTTAGAAATGTTAGCTTTCTACAGTTATTGCTATTCTCTACTTTTGATTACTGTTTTCCTCTCATTAAATAAAGCATTTTTGCCTTATTACTTTGGTTATTGTATAACACAATGTTCTGCTAGCATTATATAGCTACTACTAAGTTCTTTAAATTTTGAATAATGAAGATTATTTCTGAAAAACTCAAGTGTTTCTGAATTGTTGTCTGGTTTTGATTTCAAGTGTAAGAGTGAATTCCAGATGACTCATTGCCAGTTCACAGTTAGTTCTTTCATTTTGGAGACGTAATGTCTTTTGCGAGACCTCCATTTGTCTGATCTTTGATATTTCAGACCTTTTAAATTCACTAACAGCTTTTTATAAACAAAAAATAAATGGTAAAATCAGAAAAGGGATAACCAGCACACAATATAGTGTTTTGCCACATTCAAAAGAGCAAAAACTACATTCATTAATCATTCCAAAGCTGTACAGTGTTGTGAAAGTAAAACATTAAAACCTTACCTGAAGTTTAGGATGCAAAAGTAGAGTATGGCCACAGTCTTTATCCTTCTCATGCCTTGATACATATATTTTTAATTCTCTTACTTCCTGATTCTCTGTTTGATACAGTTTCAGTTTCATTTATAGTATGAAAATCTATTGGGTAATTCAAAAGTCTGCCAGCCTACTCGTTTTAAATATGTTTCACTGAAACTGAATACAAGCTGACACTGAGATACAGAATAGGAGGAATATCAGTAATTGCGGTGAAAAGCATGCTAGTACTTTGTTTATTAGATAGATAGATAGATAGATAGATAGATAGATAGATAGATAGATAGATAGATAGATAGATAGATAGATAGATAGATAGATAGATAGATAGATAGATAGATAGATAGATAGATAGAAAGAAAGATATATTTAAAGTAATTGAATACAATAATGCAGTCAATGATGGTAAATGTTCAGCTTTTTAAGGACTATTAATTTGCATCTCATTGTTTTCTAAGTAGGTTCTCACTTGTTGGCATGGCAACTGGTTATGTCTTACAACTGTGCCTGGTTTGGTTGTTTATTTTCTCTTGTGCTTTACTTTTTTTGTTTCAGTTAATTTGGCTTAGCTGTGGTGCTTTTCTGTTACGTAATGTGTTAGCCAGGTGTCCAGCAGTTTTTATTTTGAGTTATTGTGAGCAAATAGTGGTTGAATGAAAAAAAAAAATATATATATATATATATTTGGAACTCTACAAATCGGTCCTAGATCTACTGTCCCATCAGCCTGTTTTTTTTCAGTTATGTAACCCACCAGTCCTACTGCACCCAACTCGCTCCGAGCTGGGATCGAATTGGCCATTCTTTGGATGGGAGTCAGTTGCTCTAACAAGGAGGCTAAAAACCATAGCCTCTAGCATCTGTCGCTAGAGTACCTTTAGATGTCAGAGGAGTGAGGTTTACCTGCATAGCACTTTACTAGCTGGCCTCTGTTACACTCACCCTCCTAAACCTCACTACCATCCCGGACGAGCCCCCAAATGTAACCCACCAGTCCTACTGCACCCAAGCCGATCTGAGCTAGCATTGAATTGGCAATTTTTTTGCATGAGATTCGGTTGCTCAAACAAGGAGATCATAGCCTCTAGTGTATTTTTTCCTACTATGGAAGTCGATGGCTGTCGGTTACCAAACCTTTTCTAAATATTTTCTTTTGTGTCCGACAGAAAGAAGTAACTCGTATAGGTATTGAGTAAATGGAGACTAACTGAAAATTTTCAGGGTGAAATATATATCTTTAAGAAATAAATCTGTAGGATTACAGAAAAAGCGTACTGACCATTTTACTGGCAACTTCTCATTACCTGGTTCATTTTTATTTCTTAAAAAAAACGAGACCAACCCAGACATTTAAAAAAGTAACTAGAGATGTCAGAAATATTTGAGTATTTATTTTTATTGCCATTGGTGACTACAACAGACACTGAACATTTTTTCATGATTAAAGGTGTACTTCCAGAAAGTATTAGAAGGCTACTTACTTAAAATATAAAATTAATGATTAATATATTGACTGCATGGTCTTGACAAAATCAAAATCAAATGCACAATCATTTTTAATCATTTGCAAACCATAGCAGCCATTTAAAAAGTTAAGAAGAACTTATACTCGTTCTGCATCTGGTCACGAAACACAGCATTAGCCTTCGCCACTTTATCAGCTGTGTTCAAATACTTGTTCAGTAGAGCTTTATAGTGTTTCTCAGGATGGCCACCCATGTTGTCCACCTTCCAGGTGAAGTAGGCATTGGTTGGAGGAATGTTGAGATTATTAGCCAACCAAACCCAGAGTCTAGCACATGGAAGAAGACCCACCACAAAGTATATCGGTTCTTCAAGCATCAGATATCTGTAGTACAAGAGATAATTTCTCAAGGCTGGAATTCGCTGAATTGGAGGCTCGGCCTGCGGAAAAGACAATATAAAGCATTACTGGTTTCAATTCAAAACCAATCATGGATAATGTTTGTATGTACTGTCACTTTAAAAGTTTTACCTTGAAAAAATACATGTTCAGCAAGAGTTCTCCAAAGCTTTTGTAGCTGGCGAATCTCCCTTTCATGAAGTCCCTGATGTCGTCAGGCTGAGAGACTTCGGCGCTCATTCTCTTTAGCATCTTGGTGACTGCCAGCACGTAACCGATGTCTTGAATGGTGAAGTTGACGTATCGCTCCGCCTGCAGGCTGCCGCTTTCCATTTGCCTCAGAAAGTCCAGATTGAGCGTCTGCACGGCGAGGTCTTTATTCTTTTGCCACAAATATTCGTAAACATCCTCCACACAGCTTCCTAACGAAATATAACTAAACCAAAAAGGCATTTAGATTACAAAATCACATTTCAGATAAGCAGAAACCATAGATGAAGAGATACCAAACAACGTTCATTATAATTGGCTTACTTATGCCTCATAAAACTCTTTAAAGTGCACATGTAATCAAAATTAAGCACATTAATGTTGTTAGATCCCATTGCTAGTTTTGTGGTGAGCAATTCATATGTGCATGTCATTAGGAAAAAATTGCCTGCCCTTGAAATCTGAAGATGCACTTCGTAATTGTCTTTGAGTTCTCAGATTACGTCAAAGACCATAGAACGCACAAGACATGTCACTTGTACAGTTTTGAATGAGGAAAAGTGTAACAATCAATATGACAAAGGAAGCCCCGCCTACTTGTACAGAAGCAAATCAGCGATCGCAGACAATTCTCCGGAGGAGGGGCTCGGACCAGATGAGGTGAGTTTCTGCAGATTCTATGTGATTCGAACGTTTAGAAATGAAACTAAAGACACAGTTGTTTGATTTTATTGGTGATTTTTTAATATGAAATTTAATCATAAGCTTGGCAAACAGTCATACTGCCCGAGAGGCATTTCAAAAAGGTCTGCTGAGTGAAATGACTTGCCTTAAAGGGACTTTGATTACGTCTGACTGTGGTATGGGGTAGGGTTAACATACTTAACAATGCCCATCCGACTGTTAGTTTTGACAGCTCCATGACAGCAAACATAAATGGTGAGGAGGAGGTGTCTGTTAGGTTTTCCTGATCTTTCTGAATAAATTCCCTACTTTACTACAACCAATCAGCTTGGTTTCTAGAGAAGCAGAATGTTAAATGAGAAAAAAAGTGGGCGTGGCTTGTTTTTTCTATTGCGAGCTGATTGGATGTAGTTAAGTACTTGTAGGTTTTAGATTACAAGGGCAAACTATTTTTCTCTTAATGACATGCACAGATGAATGGTTCACCACAAAACTGGCAGTTTTGATTTCATGTATACTTTAAAACTCTTTAAGATTCTTACACCTGCTGGTATCATATTACCAAAAAAAAGTGTTTACAAACTTCAACAACTGGAATAGTAGCCTATGAAATAAGTGCTAGAGAGGCTAACAATAAATTTTTGTTTCTAATTGGAAAAGTATATCAGGTTATAAGGGAAAATATGCACAATAATAATAAAAATGGCATACTTTACTAACTCTTAAAAATGTTTGGTTGTTTTAACCTGACTTGAAGTAAAATATGAATAAATTTGACATTTTTTTTAAAGCAGCTGTTGGTTTGGTCCATATTTTAACCAAATTTAGGTTAAAAAATAGTATTTTAGAGTGTAAATTTCACAAATAATTACAGAACGTAAAACATTGAACTAAATATGAAGTGAAATTGTGTAAGCTGTGTATGCTCTAATAATCTGTCTACATCTATTTAAAAAACACTTCTCTTTTATTTAGGAAAGATATCTATCCAGACAAGCTGGCCTGAAACATTTCTTTTGAGAGTATTATATTATTATTATTTGTCTAACTGAAAACAAGGTCAATTTTAATTTTAAGGAATTAGGGGGGGAAGGGGAAAGGTTTGAAAGAAAATTAGCAGATTACAAAGTAACAGAAACTATACCAAAAATAAATAAATAAATAAATAAATAAATGGGGTTATATGACTTAAATTCAAACTTTAATTAAATTAGTTTCATGCTTTGTATTGGTTGAATATATTAGAAAGTCATCATCCTATAGTTTCCTAGTGTATGTTTAATGGTTTATTTCAAAGCATTACCTTTTAAATTATATATTTTTTTAATTTTAAAAACTCTTAAATTATAAAGAAAAAGCGTTTGCCACATACCATTGTTTTATTCTTTATTATATCCAATTATTATTATTATTATTATTATTTTACAATAATTTTACTAGAGCTGTATTCTTTTTTGAAATGTAATTGAATGTTATTTGCATTTTCTGAGATTTAATCTATAATCATTATCTAAGAAAACTGTTGTAAAATATTAATATAAAATATATTAATATAATAAGATATACAGTGTCCATTTTAAAAAAAAAATAATATTTTTATCAATTTTCTCAGAGTATATATATTTTGGTGTATTTGAACAAATAATATTAAAATAATTATATTTTAGTCACTGAACATCATCAGAAATAGAAAGATAATACATTTAAATTAATGCAAAATATTGGAAAAAATTGTAAATACAAATTTTAACAAATTTTTTTTTTGTCTTGAAAAAAATTTTTTTTGCTCTTTTTAAATTATTTTTTTAAAGTTTTAGACCGTTATCATAAATTATTTAAGCTCCAGATTTGGCACAAATATAATATTGTAAAGCTTCCTTTATAAGTATTAATCTAAATGAGACATTTTACTCATATATGTTGAGCACTGTATATGACTTAACAGTAATTAATAGTTTTATTAAAAAAAAAATTACAAAAAGATTTATTGGTAAGATATCAGTCCTCACCTGTAGCCTAAGAAGCAGAGAGCCAGAAAAGTGGCAGCAGTCTTCATATTTGTTGGATCTTGAAGAAGTCTTCAATCGAAAACTGTTATTTCTTCAGTCAACCTGTTCTTTTATAGTGGCATTTTATTACCTAATGCTGAATTGCATCAATTAAAGATGACGGTGGTAAGATCTGTTTATAGATCAAATCATTCCGATTCTTATCTATTCTGCTGACGCCCTGATCTATCAGTCTGTCTGCTTTTTAGCTATTTTTTTTTTAAGATTATTTAAGGATTATAGACAATTTAAATGCAACATTTAAATGTAAATGCAACCATAATTTTCATGGGAAACTGAAAAAACATTAAATCTTAATTCTTTTCTCCCTCCCACTCTGTATATACTTCAATATATTAATTTCAAAGATGTGCAAACTTTTATACCATGAATCATATATGCTATATTACTATAATAATATACGCTAAAACATATCTGTAAATTTGCAGTTTTCCATATTTTGTGATCCATGTTTTTATTTATTTATTTTTATTTATGCATTTGAATAGCTTTTTGACACCTTGATCTTTCTTCCGACAACTTTTAACCTTGAAAAGTTCGAAAAAGTGTCTTTTATGAACATTTTTTAATATGTATTGTCTGATTTGGTGTTGTATATTACGCTACAAAAACCTTGTAATAAGCTGCCAGAACATTTTCTGTTATTTTACTCAGTATATTATTTCTTTTATTACATTTCAAACTACAAAAATGTCAATAAAAGTCACTTTGTTAATCTGTAGAGTTGATTTTTCAACATCAAAAGTCGACAGAGCAGAGAATAACATCCTATAATGCATTTTACAACCGCAAGTAAACAGAAAAAACTTAATTATAGGAGCTGTTAATTAACATATGTTATGTACAGTGTATATCAACCAATACAAAGTACATTTTAGATAACGCATGGTGAGTTTTTAGTCAATATAATGCAATGCAAATATAAATACATATATTCCTTCACTCTACAACTTACTTTAGAGCAGAGGTTTTTCATTTGCTATTGTTTTATTATTTATTACTTGTAGTGAGAGTGGTTTCTGTCTTTAACTGAAAGTAAGTTTCCTCACTCTCACCGCAGCTTTAAAGTAGCATTGGTGTGGAAACTGAATAACGCAAGACATGACTGAAAGAGTTCTTCTTTTTCTGTTTTCTTCTTATAAATGAATTCCTGTAGTTTGAATTACTTAGTATTAGAAAAAATTCAATTTCAAAATGACTTTCAAGAAAATGAGTCATGACAGTTACAGAGAACATCCTGTACAAAACTGACTGTATTGTGTCAGAATTCTCGGTCTGAGTTTTTGTGCTGTGTGAAAAAGATTTATAAATTGTGGATTTATTTATGTTAGCAATAAAACTCACAGTTTCTCTGGATTTTAAATTTATAGTTATATAATATATATTTTTATTTATTTTTTTTTTTAATTATAAAAAACTCAAAATAAAAAAATTGATTATGTAATTGCCCTCAAACATTTTTTATCACAGTACTAATGTTTTATTTTCTAAGAGTTTAGAATGAATATTTGATGGAATAAGCTTGCGGTAACTCTTATTTCGAGCTCAATAGTTACGATCGCCTAACAGCAAGAAGTTTGTTGGTTCGAGTCCCGACTAGGTCAGTTGGCATTTCTGTGAGGAGTCTGCCTGTTTTCCCCGTGTTGGCATGGGTTTCCTCCGAGTGCTCCGGTTTCCCCCACAGTCCAAAGACATGCACAATAGGTGAATTGGATGGCCTAAATTGGCTGAAGTGTGAGTGAGTGTGTGAATGTGAGAGTGTATGGGTGTTTTGCAATACTGGGTTGCAACTGCAACGGCATTCACGATGTAAAACATGCTGGAATAGTTGGCAGTTAATTCCGCTGTGGAGATACCTGATAAATAAGGGACTACACCAAAGGAAAATTAATGAATGAATAAGTAACAATAAATAAAAATCTTATCGATTTTCATTTTTCAAAAGAAAATGAAGCTTCAAATGTCAAAATTGGTATTTATTATTTATAATAAATGTCAACAGACCTTTAAAACAAATATTAATATTTTATTCAAACTCATACTGAATAAAGTGATCTCTAAATATTTCTAAAGCTGTATGATAAGTTGATTTCATGCACTTCATTTATTTACGTATGTGCATGAATATTGAGAATAACCTGTTGACAATTGTAGGAGAGTCCTAAACTAGTTTCAACAAAGAAAATTTCCAAAACTTGCAGCTACAGTATTTCTTAGCAACCATCATGAATTCTATATGCTATATTACAATAATAATATACGCTAAAACATATCTGTAAACTTGCAGTTTTCCATATTTTGTGATCCATGTTTTTATTTATTTATTTTTATTTATGCATTTGAATAGCTTTATGACACCTTGATCTTTCCTCCGACAACTTTTAACCTTGAAAAGTTCGAAAAAGTGTCTTTTATGAACATTTTTTAATGTGTATTGTCTGATTTGGTGTTGTATATTACGCTACAAAAACCTTGTAATAAGCTGCCAGAACATTTTCTGTTATATTATTTCTTTTATTACATTTCAAACTACAAAAATGTCAATAAAAGTCACTTTGTTAATCTGTAGAGTTGATTTTTCAACATCAAAAGTCGACAGAGCAGAGATTAACATCCCATAATGCATTTTACAACTGTAAATAAACAGAAAAAACTTTATTATAGGAGCTGTAAATTAACATATGTTATGTACAGTGTATATCAACCAATACAAAGTACATTTTAGATAACGCACGGTGAGTTTTTAGTCCATATAATGCAATGCAAATATAAATACTACATATATTCCTTCACTCTACAACTTACTTTAGAGCAGAGGTTTTTCATTTGCTATTGTTTTATTATTTATTACTTGTAGTGAGAGTGGTTTCTGTCTTTAGCTGAAAGTAAGTTTCCTCACACTCACCGCAGCTTTAAAGTAGCATTGGTGTGGAAACTGAATAACGCAAGACATGACTGAAAGAGTTCTTCTTTTTCTGCTTTCTTCTTATAAATGAATTCCTGTAGTTTGAATTACTTAGTATTAGAAAAAATTCTATTTCAAAATGACTTTCAAGAAAATGAGTCATGACAGTTACAGAGAACATCCTGTACAAAACTGACTGTATTGTGTCAGAATTCTCGGTCTGAGTTTTTCTGCTGTGTGAAAAAGATTTAAAAATTGTGGATTTATTTATGTTAGCAATAAAACTCACAGTTTCTCTGGATTTTAAATTTATAGTTATATAATATATATATATTTTTTTTATTATAAAAAAACTCAAAATAAAAAAATTGATTATGCAATTGCCCTCAAACATTTTTTATCACAGTACTAATGTTTTATTTTTTAAGGGTTTAGAATGAATATTTGATGGAATAAGCTTGCGGTAACTCTTATTTCGAGCTCAATAGTTACGATCGCCTAACAGCAAGAAGTTTGTTGGTTCGAGTCCCGGCTAGGTCAGTTGGCATTTCTGTGAGGAGTCTGCCTGTTTTCCCCGTGTTGGCATGGGTTTCCTCCGAGTGCTCCGGTTTCCCCCACAGTCCAAAGACATGCACAATAGGTGCATTGGATGGCCTAAATTGGCTGTAGTGTGAGTGAGTGTGTGAATCTGAGAGTGTATGGGTGTTTTGCAATACTGGGTTGCAACTTGAACGGCATTCACAAGGTAAAACATGCTGGAATAGTTGGCGGTTAATTCCGCTTTGGCGACACCTGTTAAATAAGGGACGATAATGAATGAATAAGTCACAATAAATGAAAGTCTTATCGATTTTCATTTTTCAAAAGAAAATAAAGCTTCAAATGTCAATATTGGTATTTAATATTTATAATAAATGTCAACAGACCTTTAAAACAAATATTAATATTTTATTCATACTGAATAAAGTGGTCTCTAAATATTTCCAAAGCTGTATGATAAGTTGATTTCATGCAATTCATTTATTTAATGTGCATGAAAATTGAGAATAACCTGTTGAGAATTTTAGGAGAGTCCTAAACTAGTTTCAACAAAGAAAATTTCCAAGATTTGCAGCTACGGTACTTATTAGCAACCGTCGTGAGTCAGAAATACAGTTACACAACTGGACATGACTTCACTTTCACTACTGTCCCATTATGCATTTCCTCATTCATTATTTTCCATTATACATTTTAAAATCTTTACTGCATATAAAAATGCCTTTTAAAACTAATATACCATGAATGATACTCCCAAGAAAATTGTCAGGAACACTGAGTTTAACAGTTAACATATCTTTTCTTTTTTATATACTTTTCCAGTGCCCACTATATTTCCTCTGATGATAGATTTCTCTAATTTGCAAAATGTAAATTGGAACTATTCTAACCAAGTAATTAAAGATCATGTTGCAAAAAGGAGTATGTCTTAATAAATATATTGAAAGAAAAATGAAATTATAATAAGCAGGAACTATCAAAGAGGCCATATAAAATATTAAATGTAAATTATTTATGGTTGTGATTATCCGTACAACATTTATTCTTTTTTTTTTCAGATCTTATACGGTGTTTGGGGAGCATACTCTCACATTAATGAATATAATAAAACATATAGTAATACATGTGTAAAACATGTGTAAAATGTAGCAATATGGTCCATATTCAGCTAGAAATGACCATTTCTGCCTTTCGTTATTTCTTTTTTCCCTGGTTCAATTTAAACCATTTTAAACACATTTTAACCTGATTTAATCATTTTGTATTCTTTGTTCGGGGTTTTTAATCATTTTTTAACTCTGGTTGCTGTGATCAAGACTTTTTGGAAGGAACATTTTGATCATTTGTGGAAGTTTTGATTATTTCTTATACTTGATGTATTTGATGTTTCTTTTATTCTTGTATATGTAAAGCACTTTGAATTACTGTTGTGTAGAAAATGTGCTATAAATAATAAATCCTTGCCTTACAGGTATTTCTTTGGAAATAGAAAGTAAAAGGTCAAAAAGATATCTGTTTTCTTTTGTGCCAAAATTCATTAGAAAATCAAGTAAATATCCTGTTTTTGTATGAAGATATTATGTACATTTCCCTACTGTAAACAGATCAAAACTCAATTTCTGATTAGTAATGTGCACTGCTAAAAACATGATTTGAACAACTTTAAAGGTTGATTTTCTTGAGCCCTCAGATTCCAGATTTTCATGTGCTTGTATCTTGGCTAAATATTTTCATTTCCCAACAAACCAAAACACTTGAAAGCTTTTATATTCAGCTTTCAAATAATGTCGCCTATAAATCTCAACTTACAGCTGCAGGGTTACAAATATCTTAATCTTCTAAGGGTTATACATCATTCATTCATTAATTTTCATTTCAGCTTAGTCCCTTTATTAAGCTGGGGCACCATAGCGGAATGAAGCACCAGGAATAAACAACTCGACAGAATTAGTTTTCACTTTTTTAACACATCATTTTTAGTTTATTATATTACAGTAACAAATTTTTACAGCTGTTGACAGAAGTACAACATTTCCAAGTTCACAAGATTTACACCTAACCACTACGCCACATCACCCACAAGCGTTCATTCATTGATTTAAACTTTATTACAGACTCAAAGTCTAATTGAAATAAATAAAACAAAACAAAACCATATTCCATAACATATAAGTAGGGCCAAGGAGAATCTGCGGACATTTTTTGCTATTTCTGCTGAGAATTTTGGAAAAAATCTGCAAATTTATGCAGAATGATTTTGGGATATCATAACTAAAAACTTAATATATTAAATAAAAAAATACTTTTTAAAAGCTATTATTTAATGTTTATAATGCAAATTAATTTAGATGCACTTATTTGGTAAACAAAGCAAAAATGACAGAACATTTTATAAACTGTTTTGGTAATAATATACATTTTCATATTAAACAACAATAACATTACTGAAATCATTTAAAAACTGAATAAATATAAATTTACACACACTATTGCACAAATAGTCTCAATGATGGGCTCAAAATCTGCGGAAATCTAGTCTATGATGGGCTTACATATAAGAAACCGAACAGATACCAGCAGATAGCGCTGTTTATCAAGTCACAGCTTGCTGCGATGTTTAAATAATTGTGCGAGAAGGTTTTCCTCTTCCTCCGATGTCACCCCTAGGCGGAGGCGTCAGTAGACGGGCAGCAGCGGCACCCCTCCCGGCCTCGAGCTCCGTCACCGTGCGCTGCGCTACAGGGAAACGATCGCCATAGTGAACCGCACGCGAAGCACCTACGGACCCGTTAAACTGAGGATATCAGCGCAAGTTTGGCCGATTTAAGTGGGGTGAGGCTGTGTGTTTTTCGTCGGAAAGGCGACTTGTGTTTGTGTGTGTTGGCGGAGAGTGGAAAAGACGGCATCCGGCCTCCGAGAAGCAGGCGAGGGCAGGGACTCGCGACCGAACAACGTTTACCGTCTCTGGTGAGTTTTTCCATCCGGCGACCGTCTGCACTTTCGCGGAAGGTGGACGCGAAGCTAATGTTATGTTTGTCTGTTGCGCGTCTATCAAACAAATCCGCGATGTTTTGAGTAATCTGGTTAAATGTTGTTGAGTCGACGGTTGTTTTGTCAACAAGAGCTGAATGTTGTTTTCAAATACTGTGTGTGTTTGGTTTGGTTATAAAAGAAAAGCCAAACCGTTTTGAAGTGTTTGTTTAAGCTTTGACTAGCAACGAGTTCCACCACCTGGTTGAATAACCCATCCTGACAGGCTTTGTAGGTTTGTTTTTGTAGTTTTGTTGGTCACACTTTGCACTAATGTTTTATTAGTTGACGTATTTACTAACTTGAGCTAATAGAGAACCAGTATAGCATTTATTAATCATAGATCAACATTAAAATAATGCATTATTAAAAATAAAACTCATGAATGTTTAGTTAACTCACTTTCAGCTTGAGCCACTGTGTTTTCATTAACGTTAGTTAAGATGTAATAAACATATTGTCAATTTTAGTTAATACATTAACTAATACAATATTATTGTAAAATGTTTCTGTTTTAGTTTGCCTTTATCCTTAAAGTTGAATCATAAGACTAAAATCAGTCATCCTGTTACAATGTGTGCTTTCTGTTGAAGCAGTTATGCAGATCAATTCACTGCAAGCAAACACTGACAGACAGTTGCCTCCTTACTTAATCAAGTTGTTACAGCTAAAATGGTAATTCCCTGGAAAAGTTTCCAAAAGTTAGTGAAAGTATGTGTTGTTTTAGTTTAGATAATGGGGATTTCTATGCGCATGTTTGATATGCCTGCATCAGAAATGTTTTCAGGCGAATATAATGGATCACAGTGCAAACACCAACTAACTGTCTATTTAAATCTTTATACTCTGACTCTATATCTCATATGTTTTCTTGATTTGGACAGTGTTTTGATTTCTAATTTAAGTCAATTTAAAATATAAAATGTAGTTTGACTGCGTATGAGTGTATGTATTTAATAATTAATCATCCAAATAGGCATGTTGTTTCATTTTTTTAATATGACTGCAATGCTGAACCTAAATTTGACGTCTTTTTTTTTGTTCTCAAAAAGTAAAAGTTATATGAAGCACTTTATCTGCATTTAATATACTTTCTGTGTAAAATAGCATGTAATTGAACAGTATGAATTAATATACAGTAATGCATTTGATCAGTTACACAATAAAATTTGTAGTATTAATTAAAAACAGAACTTTTTAATATTATTGTATTACTTGTATCTATCTAGATATGGGCCGCTAAAACATTCTGACAGTATGATAACCTTATAGATAAAATATCAGGGTTTCACGGTATTGTGATTACCGCTCTGATATATGCTCTTTTTAAGTGTCTAAGTAAAAAACAACAACTTTTTCCCCCTTTGAACACAATATACTTTATTTTAGGAAACATTTGTAGTATTTTGGAGCAGTAAACATGTCAGGCTGAATAATTCAAATGAATAATAGACTTCTGCTTTCTTCGTTTGTTTTAAAAACACTGACTTTATTACAATTTAAAATGACACCTTTAGATATATGTTCTGCTACTGTTGTCCTAGAAAACTAAAGATACTTAAAAAATGTAAATCAAAAATCTTACATATACCTTAGGAACGTTATAGCAGAAATTTTTGGCGGTTTTAAAACCTTGACTTTTCCAAGCTGCAGTATACCTTGAAGACGGTTATCGTCCCATCCCTACATGTATGATATGCCTTCATCAGAAATGTTTTCAGGGGAATATAATATCACAGTGCGTACACTCTTAATATCTCATATATTTTCCTGATTTGGACAATGTTTTTATTCATAATTTGATTTAGTTATATATATACATAAATTTCCCAGAGATGTGTTGCGGCTGGAAGGGGATCCGCTGCGTAAAAACTTGCTGGATAAGTTGGTGGTTCATTCCGCTGTGGCGACCCCGGATTAATAAAGGGACTAAGCAGACAAGAAAATGAATGAATGAATACATAAAATGTAGTTTGACTGCTCATGAGTGTATATATTTAATAACTAGCGGTCAAAATAGGCATGTTGTTTAGTTTTTGCAAATATGACTGCCATGCTGAACCTAAATTTCCCCTATTTTTTCATTTTTTTTCTCAAAAAGAAAAAGCTGTTTAAAAATATAAACCACTTTACCTGCATTTAATATGCTTTCTGTGTAAAATAACACACAATTTTACAGTACGAGTCAATGAATGGTAATAAATTTAATCAGTGACACATTAGAACTTGTAGTAATAATTAGAAATAGCACTTTTTAATATTATTGCAGTACTTGCTTCTTTCGATCACATTGTTAAACAATAAACACAGCGTGAATTTACACTTGACAGCTAGTAACATGCACTGTAAATGTCATTTAAATGATTAATCACCATTTTTAAATGGGTTAATAGTTGAACCCTTGCATAACGACCAATTCATTCCTCATCCGCACATTCTCCAGTCAAACCACAGGTGACTTTGTAACCCCGGCAAATGTGATGATGGGTTTAATGAATCGTGAACGCGGACAAATGTATCTCCGCCCCTCCAGCAGAGCAAAGGGGCTTGCATTAAAATGCTTGAGTGTAGAAACCATCGATGTGGTGCCAACTTTATATGCCCTCCGTAATGCCCTGGCTATTTTGGTGTCTCGAACAGATGTAGCGAATGAGACGTGCGTGCACCGAATACCGCAAATGAGCACACATGTATGCATGGATATGAATACGTATGCATTGGATGGATGCGATTAATGGGCTGGTGGCCAATTTTGGGGGTTGCCAGCCCCAGGATGATGCCTTTCTCAATCAGGGGCTCTTGAGATGGAAATGAGGGTGCGTTCCACAACCTGGCATGCAGCTGTTACATGGATGACCCAAATCGGGGACTGTGGCTTGGCTGTTCTCAGTCTGGGATGGCTGCATGTAATATGACCCACATGGTGATGGATATATGGCTCGGTGGTGATATGATAAAAATATGACATCACGATATAAGTCATGCCATATACTGATAATGATAAATATTAGAGCTGCACGATATTGGAAAAATATGACATTTTGTTTTTCTGCAGTATGTATTGCGATATGAATACAATTTCACCAGACGACTTAAATAGCTCTATCTGAAAATAGTTTAGAATCTTAGATAGATTCTGTAGTTGAGTGCATCTGCATAAAATATAATAAACAATCTAAAAGTGAAAAAATGCGATAAATAAAACAAAACAAAAAAAACAAATTAAATAAAACGTGTTTTGCTGATTTCCGAGGAGTGTAACAGTATTCAGATACACTGTAAAACCCAATAAGTTAAGGCAACTCAAACCGTTCGAGGACACTGATTGCAACATACCATTAAAGTTCAAAAACTAATCCTAATGAGTTCTGTAAACTTAATCCATTTGAGTAAACCAGGGGTTCCCAATCTTTTCCACCTACGACCCCCAAAATGACAATGCCAGTGATTTGCGACTACCAATATTCTCTGAGGTGGTTACAAATACAGAAACCTTGCATGCAATGGCGCACACACACCAATAGACCCAAGTCTATTCTTTGTATAATTGTTTTAACATATGTGAGTGCTGTAAATTCATAAGGTCATCGAATAATCAAATGTATAAATAATTCTGCATGGTCTTCATTTTATAAATAACTCAATACAATTAATAGTTATTAAATTTAAAAACGGTACAATTTCTCAATGCTTTTAAAATTGTCATACAATCACAGGACATAAAAACCTATGCAAATGATAAATTATAATCTCTCAACGTTGCATTTATAGGCGATGTGACTATCACGATTGATATCAAAGCTAAAAACGATTTATTGTGCAGGCTTAATATATATCATGATATAGTATATATTTTTGCAAATTCAATCAAGCACATGGAAAGGAAGGATTAAAGGATTAAAAATATGTACTTAAGAATTTTCTTGTTCATATGTGATTTATTTTTTTCACTTTATGTCCTTTAAGTTCGAGGCAAATGTTTGATTATGAATGTTAAAAATATGATGCATGTTAGTAATATATAAAACACTTTTCAAAATTGAATAAATACAGGCAAAACACCAAATATTGAGTAATAATAATGCAAAAGTAAATATGTAAACAATGAAAACAGGTTCAAAGGCACTCAAAGTAAAAAAAAAAATGTTTTTTTTTTTGCACTTTTTAAGTGCCTTGTATTTAAAACTTCATTGTTTATCTTTACAAATATTGTACTTTCCTTCAAAGGAGCACAAAAATGTTTTATTGTGAGAGTTTTATTTTTATTAAATTAATTTTTTTTAAATTACCTCATTTCTCATTAAAACTGCACATTTATTTTTTAACTTTTTGTGTGCTTTGTACTTATGTACTTATGGTTTTCTTGTTTATCTTTATAAATAGCGCACTTTCCAGCTTGCGACTGTTTTGCCATGCTGTTACAAGCTGGGTTTTTATCATAGCGTAATCTTTTCAAAGTTCAGATATAATCCCAAATGCTAATTAGGTGCGTTTCCATCAAATGTTTAGAGTGGCTCTCTGTAGTATTGGTAGCCTAGCAACCAACCGTAAACAAGCCAATTTAATAGTCACGTGGGTTGAATGTTATGCATGTCAGAATTTATTCAGATGCACTTACATCTTCCATTATTCACATGAACTTTTTTAAAAGTCCAAAACCACTTCAAAGGAATGCAAAAACATTGTTCTGCGTTAAGAGATTTTATTTTAAAGTTTGTAATTTCCGTACCTTCCATATGTTTTCACTTTTAGTGTGCTTTGTACTTACGATTTCGTTGTTTATCTTTATAATTATTGTACTTTCCATCTTGTGACTTTTTTCGCCATGCTTTTACTAGCTGGGTTTCTATCATAACTTGATGGTAATCTTTTCAAAGTTCGGATATAATCCGTTTCCATCCAATTTTTAGAGTGGCTATCTATAGTATTGGTAGCCT